TGTTATACTTAAAAATACCTTGGAATAACCACAAAATTCAACTAAACCATCCTGTAGTTTCATATTTTGTAGAGCCTTCAAATGTTATAACATTATATAGTTCATTATTAATTGTTAAATTTATATATTTTAATAAAGAACTGGGTTATTTTGAATATTTAATATTTTGTGATAACTTATAAATGAAGATATTAGTATCTCCACCATATTTATCACTATAATATGTTAAAATATAGAGCATAAATACATTTTATTCATCAGAGTTATAATCAAATTTCAGATTCTAACCATTAGAAAAATAAAGTACATGAAAAACAGAAAAAAATGAGCACTATATACACTATAGTAAAAGATATTTTTTCAAGTTATTGAAAATTAATCAATACTTACTTATTTTTATAAAATAAATGTTATATACTACAGCTTTGTATTACAAGATAAGCATATTAATATAAAAATATTAGAAGTAATGAGATGGGCTAGATAGCTATTCTAATTTATATCTACAAACTAATATATTTAAATAATAATATTTAAATTATTTTATTTAAAAAATCAAGACTTTTTTACTGGATACAATAAAAAATTCTTCATTGAAAATAATTTAGAAATAAAATATTATATTAAATTACTTTTCAGGAAAACTATTTTCTTTAAAGTACTTTTATAAAATAATTATAATTGGCACGTTTAGGGTGAGAGAACGTATTGATCTTCTAAGGATGGATATTGCATTCATAATATAGAGTTTGATGTAAATTTGATTCATTATTATAGGTTTTCATTAAGTATTGCTAATTGAGCATCAATTTATATTAGACAGCAAAAGTGGAGAGATGACAAAGGCAACTAAGATTGAGATCTTGCTAATGGCAAAGACACAGCTCTTAAACTTCATTGAAGAGAAATATTGAGACATGAATAAATTATACCATTAATTATGGTTGTTTTATCTTCTCCTCAACTTCTCGCAATTATGAAAAAATCAAAATCCTATTTTTATGGAACTAAAAGTCCTTAACAAACTTTTACTTTAAACATGTATCATAATCAAAATGGTAAAACTGATATATACGAATAGTCTTTATGGTATGATGTTCTGAAATGTCCCAAGAACACCTTGAAATGCACTCTCTTTAATGCAAACACTACACAGTCAGTATTCTTAGTCGCTAACTGCAGTCTTCAACACCTTTTAGTGCCTTCAAAGACTTTTTCTCAAGCAGAAAATTAAAAAACAATATATGATTAGAAAACAAAATTTTTACCTCGTCTTGTATCATTTCTATATGAATCAAATACGGGGATAGGTATAACACGGTTGGAAGACCTGAATTGTGGGTGATGGGAGTGAAACACAATGAAAGTGAGGGCAATTGTGTGATAAGCAAAGCGAGCTGGGAGGCACTCAAGGGCGAGGTTGAATATCAAAATGTGGAAGATACTCATAGTAATCTCATGAGCATCGCATTCATCAACCATTCCGTCACCGGTGTATAACGAAGTGACAAGACAGTAGTCACACTGCACTCACGTAAAATTGGGGTAGCCCTTCCAAAGCAATCCCTCCAACAAGGTAGCCCAAGACTACTTCTAGTGTTGTGCCAATCACCAAGGAGAAAGGTCCTTATTGCAAAGCTTTACACAAATATATATTTATGAAAATAGTTTATTGCAAAAATGTGGACACATAAAATAGGATGCTTTTGTATGATTGACTTTGCATGCTGCAGATACTTTTTGCTGTAAATCTGTAAACACTCTTGAACACCTTCGATATTCCCTCAGCCTTTCTCTCAAGCTAAAGAAGAGCAATATTATGAGCTATTCTTAAGAAAAACAAAATCTCTTACCTCTTCCTTCTTGTCTTGTATTCCGTTTCCATAATAATCTGTTGAAACTCCACCTCCCAGCTTGCTTCGCTTATCACACATTTCCCCTCGCTTTCTGATTCTAAAACACCATTGTGTTTCAGTCCCATCACTCCCTTCTTAAATTCAGGATCATCCACCTCCTTTGCACTATACCAGTTCTTGAAATTTGTCCACAGTGAATTGAAACGTTCATGAACCATTCCCTCACCTGTGTAAACAAGACGCTAGCTACAGATAATCACTCACGAAAAACCGGAGCGTCGCTTCCAGAACAATTTGCTCATCAATGTCTCCAAACTTGAGCTTCCCGTCAACCAACTTACACTCGCCAGTCCTGAGCCCCTCCATCGCGGGAGTAAGTCATCCAGTTTGGCCAGCGCAGTGAGAAGCGGCACAAGCCCTTCCAGTACTTGATCCTCTTCGTCTTCCCCATCGTAACGAGGAACCACAAAGCCATTGTTTTGCTGGAACAGCCAGTAATACTCATCATCCACACCTTTCGCTTGCAATCCTTGTGACCTGTTGCCATCTTTCAGATCCACGGTTATATCGATGCTTGGATCCAAATAAGCTTTGCAATGGTCCCGGCAATAACACCTAAGAATCTGTCCGGAGGATAACCTCGAATTTATACTGTGGACGATGCCACTAACATATAGCTGTGGCGGAGCTGAATACGTAGAGATCATAGATGGGAGCCATCTTGTCGAGGAAAGGGATCAACCCAGGCCTCATGCCGATATCGTGGCAACCATTTCGATTGGTAACCACGAAATCCTTGTTTTTCGCGCGCTTGGAGATGAGCCAGTCGTCGAGGTCCAAAACCAGCGCTGGACGTGCCGGAAACCATCGAGTTTGAGCGCCAGATTCAGACGAGATGGAAGCAGCCGAAAAGTTTTTACGCACCACATTCAGTAAACCCGCAATAGCCTCCCTTCCCAGCGCAGCGCTATGGCCGCCCCAGCGCCATGGCATGGCTCAGTAAGACCTGTCTAGTATTAGGTTTGCGCTCAGATATTTTATTTATTATAATTTGTAATTAGCACAGGTAATTCTAATGTCTACATCGTCAGAGGAGGGATGATGGCTCTATGCTTCTGGATGCCGCTAGCACGAGAAGTTCCCCTTATGGATATGCCATCCAGCGATGAGGAGTATGATGCCTACACAGGCATGGCAGATTATCACGAGCTGGTAACAAAGAGAAGAAAGAGCTTTTGTCAACTTTTGAAATTATCTTTAGTAGCACAATGTTGTTTCTTTCGTTCAATGTTCTAGTGATTGAGACAACTTTCTATTTTGTCTTGCAGATTCAGATCCTGTTATTGTCAACATATGGAGAGAACCATCCCGCACCCCTGCATCCCTGGCCGCCATGGCCATCAGCTGGGAGCTGAGCGCGCCACAGTCAGGGAGCTCAGTTGCACACATTAGGGCTGTAACCTGCGAGTGGCTCACAGCCATGACTATTGCTGAGAAAGTGTGGTCGAGCTCGGTCCACTTGGGAGCACTTGACTGACCACATAAATATATCATCCTTTCCTATCAAAGTATACTTTTTTTACCTTTTAAATGATATTTTATTGACTTTGCAAACAGAAGTCAATGTTTTGCTCGGCTCCTTGTTTGAATTGAGTTCCACCACGACAAAAATAAAGGTCGTCCAAATTGGCACTAAAGCTTGAATCTGTGTAGAAGATTGAATTTACAGTCCACTTATACCCAACTGAAGAATATGGGACTACATGAATGCAATACATTATTCACCTCGCTCTGGTCCCTCTAATCTTCATTGGTAGCCACCTCTGTATAGGAAAGAAAAGGTATATAAACCTACCCATGCAAATTAATTATGCCCTGTGCATTGTCTATATCTTTTTTTCCAGTGATGAGCTCCAAAAGAACGACTGGTATCATGCTTTAAAATGAGCATTGCAAGACTCTATAAACAGCACGACCAAAATCTGAGAGCTTGGGATAATGCTCTCTGAGTAAGATGTGAAATCCAGGAGGATTTTCTTTGTCATGCATATTTTGGTAGCTCCTGCAAAGCTATTTTCATCATTGCATTCCAGCCCAATGGTTCCTTGTCGGATCAACACATCTGCATGCAAGGCTTACTCAGTTTTTTTGTATGTAGAAAACAATACAAACTGTGTAATTGATCTTCCAGGTTCATATACTTGTAGAAACCAAGCCTTTGATCGCCATCACAACAATAACCGATTATCCAAACTCCCACCAAGAATCTCGGGTTGAATGTCCGTTTCTTTCCAGCTGCTTCACTGCCATGATCTGCAACCAAGGAGAGAAACATGTTAGACAAAAACCAAACAAGAAAACAAAAACTGGTTTTTGCAAGAGAGAAAGAACACCAAACCTGGCCACTATATAGATATGGCCAAAGCCTCTTTCACTGAACATACACTTTTATGTAAGCTGGAGCCACCATTTTGTCTTGACGAGAGGACCTCTTGTTGCTTTTCTTTGCTCGCCACCGAGCAAGGCTGGCCAACATGATGTAAAGGAATCACAGGACGGTTGTAGAGGTGCTCTTGAGCTGGACAGTCGAGAGGCGGGCAGTCAAGAAGAAAGTGCCACTTCAGCGAGCTTGTTTGTCTCGGTTTGAGCAGCTCCTGCCTCTAGAGATGTCCTCAATTGCAAGTCCCCTTGTATCTGAGAAACAAGACGGTTAGCCATCTTGCAAATCCGTGGTTGCTGTCATCCCAAATCACTCAGGACAACTGACCTCCTGCGGCCTTTTGATTAAAACATGCCCAATATACCAGACAATTGGACACAAGATTACAAAAAACTTGGTGACATATAGTAGATGGCACATGTGCTTGTTCCAACCAGCGCTTAATAACAATGTTTCATTATTGGCACAATTATCATTTTAAATTGTGTGCCTACGTGCTTTGCCGGTTGGGAAGTAGCACTTGTTTTCTAATCTAAGTCGGCCTTTCAATTGACGCTGATATCAAAATCTAAATCTCACGCGACAAGGTGCGAATTTAGAAGACTCTCCAAGCGATTTCTTACCGAGTCTCTACTCGAATAAGAAACTGAAAACACTGGAGAGATCTCCAGCGTTTTTGTTTGCTTGGCGCGAATAAAAGAACATACTTAGCAACTCGTTTCTTTGATGGTTGTAAAAATGTGGCTCGTGAATTGCAGTACTGCAACACTTGACATACAAGAAGCCATAGGCTATAGCAGAAACGATAATATCATATAATCTGACGGTACACCGTTTCGATGTCTGTATAGCATATAGATGAGCATATTCCATGGCAAGATCAGGAGTAGCAAAATTGATTTGGTTCTTTCGATCGCTTCAAACCTTCGGGTCCTTCGCCTTGACATAAATGATCTGCACAGTCCGATACCAGAGCTTTAATACTGTAATTTCATCAAAGCGATGAAGGATATCCATTGCGCGTTCTAAAGAAGAACAAGAGGAGAAGAAAGAGGATGCGCTTGAAGCGATTGAACTTACCTCGGGCATTGGCTCGGAATCATCCGAGATGATGAATCCTTGCAGCAATGCTGCTGCTCCGGCGGCGATCAGAGGCGACCCAGGATGATTTCCAGTGATCCTAGCTCCGCGAAATCGGGAAGAAGAAGAGATCAGCGCGAGAGATGCGGCGGGCGCGAGATCGGGAGGCCCAACGTCGTCGTCGTCGTCTCCACACGCCCCCGGGCGCGGCGCCACGAAACTGTCCAAGGCTTTGAATCGATAATCGCTGCTATCGATCATCGACATGGTGTTGCCTCCCCGCGATGTGATCAAGCAACGAATCGATAAAACAATTTTGCGGATTTCGCGGGCACCCGGATTTAAATACCTGTATATTTTTCCAGCGTGGCTGACGGCGACTGCCGAGTGGGAGGCAGTCAGCTTGCGGTCAGCGGGAACACCGGATGGAATATGCTATCTCCGCTTGTGCCACGCAGGAAGCACGTGCGCGCCCGTGTCGGCACGTGTCCTCGCGGTGGTAGCGAGCGTGCTGCGGCTTTCGGCGTGGCTCTCCTCTTGCCAAATGTGGTGGCGCTGCTACATTTGGCGGTGGTGCCAGAGGTGCCGCATGGTTTCGTGGACCACCACCATTTACTCTTTGTGTTGGTTGGAAGAGAGAATCTTCGATGGCGTCGCATTCCCCAGCTGAATTATGTTGGTTCTTAAGCTTGTTAGAATTTGTCATAATATTATCCATTTCTTAAACATAATCAGATATCTTTAAATAATAATAGTACTATTATTATATTTATTACTCATATAAAACAAGGAACGTTTCTTATTCTAGCTAACGTAATCTACTTAAACGAGATCAAGCGATGGAAGCTCTGGAACGCTTTCCTCCTTTTGAGAGAGTCTTCACCTGGGAACAGTAATTCCTGCACAAATCAAAGCAAAAAATCAATACTTTTGAGATTGAGACGACGATTCAAAGATGAACCATCCAAAACGTACCTTGGCAAGTGAAGCCCGAGGGGATGTAGGACGAGTAGCCGCAGGCCTTGGGAATGGCCAAAGCGTTGTTGAGATTGATGCTACTAAGCTGGGATTTGGCGTAGACGAGCGTACTGCAAAGGCAGCTGGGATTGCTGCGGTAGGCCATCATCGCGGAGCAGCAACTCGAGGTAACCGAGCCCGAGCCAGTGGCCGCCGGGAGGCAAGCCTGCAGATTCGTGAACTTGCTAGTGTCGCACGACTGCCCCAGCGCCGCTCGAGGCGAGGACGCGAGGAGCGCCAGCGCCACCACCGCCACCACCGCCACCATCTTCGAGAGCTCCATTCTCTTAGAGATCTAGAGTCTAGCGCGAGAGAGATCGGGAAGCGAGAATGTCAGGTAAACTTGCTTTGGAAAAGAAGAGAGTTTGTGAAGGAATGATCTTTGGAGCGATCTTGGTGGCGAGAGAGTTTATATACCCTGGAAAGCCATTAAAGTTTTAGTCCCAGACAGCTAGACCAAGCTTACCAAACGCTCTCCAACCTTCATCAATGCCGCGACGCCGACGCGGGAAAAAAAAGAAAGCTGTAGAAAACTAAGTTCCAACCTGTGTTGGAACGATAAATATGTTGGGCGATTGGATCTAGAAACGGACGCTCGCAAGAATCAAATTTGAATCTTCCATTCCATAGTCGGATCAAGGTTGAGCTAAGGAAGACGTGGTCAACACGGCCGAGAAACAGCCCAACTGAGCACGACCTTGACTTGCTACTCACTGTTGTGGTGCGGTGCTCCTCCTTTTTGCTTTGGCAGCTCCTTGAATTGAATTCGATGCGGCCAAAAACTCTTTGGTTGCATTGTCATTTTCTCACGAGTACAAGTATAGGTGGAAGAAGGGAAAGAGATCCAGAGTCGCCTCCAAGAGTCCGGAAGACAAAGATTATTGCGCGTCGTCAAATATCTCCCAGAGAGAGTCTGCATCGGAGCTACGTGTCGATCGAGTTAATTGGCCCGAGAACACCAAAGTCATTCTTGTCGATTCTTACAAAACGCTACAAAGTCCTGCAAGCTCTAATTACATTGAATCTCTTCATCAATTCAATAGTGTAAGACGACAGCAGGGGCATTTGCAGAGAAACAAGCTTTCGAATCCGGAGGAGCTGGGGATTTGAAATATTTTCCCGGGAGCAACTTGGGTGCCAAAAAACGGCCCGTGGCAAACAATTCATGAGGCTTGAAAAAAAAAAACTACCAAGAAAAAAGAAAAACAATGGTCGTGTCACACAACTATGTTGGCAACTGTTGCAACTGGAGAAACGATCAATGCCGCCAACAGGAGCAGCAGCAAAGGATGATATGATAGAATTCTTAGAAAAGATGCCATTGGGAACTGGTGAGTGCTGCTTGTTGTTGGTTTCACCACTTTTTCATTGTTGTTACTTTCGCCACCTTTTGCTTCTTCATCTAGGCAACAAGGGAAAAAGAAGGAGAAATTTCTTGCACTTTTCGATCTAAAACTCTGACATCCATTTTGTGTTATATCACTTTTTTTCTTAAAATCTGTAAAAATAGGACTACGCACTGATAATCTAAGCCGGATCGCTGCCGGAAGCTTACGGTTCAGTTCGACATGGCCAGAGAAAATCGCTACACAATCAAAGATTCTCCAAAACACACAGAGATATTCCCCTTGCACAGCGGGGACGTGTCAATCGTCCGTGCGACAGTGTTTGGTAAGTAGCCAAAGCGTGTGTGGTCCCCAAAAATACAAAAACAAAACAAATAAAACAATTTAGTATTTCTACCCGGTGGGTAGAATAGTAACTCGTAAAACTAAACCAAATCCCCGTCCGAGATAATAGTAACTTCTGCTGCCTGCGCCAATAATAATAATAAACAAACATCCAAGACAGTGACCTGTGGGCCGGTTAGGGCAAAAAAAAAAAAGCTACCCCTCCAATAATTCAAGCCTGGGCCTTTGCGGACGCCAGACAGCCTCTCCAATCCGCTGGACGGTGTCTCCTCCATTCATTTGGTATGTTTGCTTTACCTATCTATTTTATTGGTTTCCTTCTTTCCTCTTGTCTAGGCTTTTGCTTTTGGGAGTGGGATTGATCCATCCTTCCCTCGCCTCTCGCGGGAGGGGAGAGAGCGAGCGAGCGCGCGCGCGAGAGAGAGAGAGAGAGGTAGTGCGCGCTCTTCCTTCTTCTTTGTTCTTCCCCTTTCTTCTTCCCTTTCTCGCCTCGCCCCTGGAAACCCCCAAATAGCCACCATGATCCCTCGTTCTGTGTAGAGAGAGCTCAAATCTTCTTCGTCTTCCTCCTCCTCGGTTCTCCGATCGATCACGGCGGTCATGACTGCTGGTAAGCGCCCAAGGCTGATGATGAGGAGGACCGTGAGCGTTGCCTCGCTCGGAGCAGGAGCAGCAGCAGCAGCAGCAGCAGGAGGATGTGGTGGAGAAGTGGCAGCGGCCGTGGCTGCCGGATCTGATCACCCTCTATCGGCCGATCACCAGTTCCAGCGCCCCCAGCATCCGCATGTTGTTGTTCCACACCAGGTGATCGGCTTCGCAGCGCCCACCGAGGATCCATCTCCGTCGGCGGCCACCACCCTGCCTCCCTCGCCCGCCGGTACGAAATCCAGGCCTTTCTCGGGTCTCAGCATCCTCGCGGATCCCAGCAACAAGGAGCTCGGGCCCTGTTCTCCTCACGGGAAGGTCGGCCTGGGGATCGTAGCGGCATTGGACAAGGACGAGTTAAGTGGTTCTTCTTCGCCAACTTCGGTGATCCGATCCTCCTTGGCCCAGGCCGGCGTCGTCGCTCCTGCGAAGAACTTCCACTACCATCAGTCTGCTCGCTACAACATGCACGACACTCACCAGCGCAAGCACAAGGATGCCGCCGACTCCGCCACCTTCCACCTTTGCCTCGAGGCCAATTCCACCAAGTGCGCGCTCCGGCCGTCGTTCACCACGCTCGGCTTCCTGGACTCGTGCTACCAGTGCAAGCGGGACATCTCTCACGGCCGAGACATCTTCATGTACAAGTACGTGCACCGCTGCTGGCTCGCTTGCTCGTTGCTTTGTTTCGTTGCCTTTCGATTTTTAGCCAGATCTCGCGCTCACACGAGTTTTCTGTGTGTGTGCCTGCAGAGGTGACAGAGCATTCTGCAGTGCTGAATGTCGACACCAACAAATTTTGAACGATGAGCGTTTGGAGCGAAGAGAGAAGTGTACCTCAGCGGCGCTCAAGCAGATGGGGAGTGTTCCTCAGCAGGTTCGTCACAACCAGCGAGCCAAAGTTACACCGGCAACCACTGCTGCTGCTGCTTAGGATGGGGTCACAGCTTCTCTCCCGATCAACGTCGCTCTAATTTTGTGTATTATATTGTCAAGAAGAAAAATTTTTGCAAAGCGGGGTATCATGGAGGCAAGGATCAAAGCTGTAGCCTCCATAAGAGTCAAGTCCTTAAGCACGTAATAACGAAAAAGAAAAAAAAACAAGGTGCTGTTATATATGCTACTTCTACGTACCTGAGGGCTCGGAATGAGAAAAAAGCTGTGCAAGCCTGCACGAGATGCGAGTGCAATCATGCTCTACACTGATTCCTGGAGAGTGGTGGTGAGTACTTGTTACACCACCTCAAGCATCTAACAGTGCGGAGGTGGAAAGCGTAAGCAGATGGTAATCCAATGTCCGCAAATTCACCTGGCGCTCATCGATGTTAGAACCAAACAAACGGTCTGAACAAGTTACCAGCACGGCGGTTCCCGAATCACAAAAGCGCGGAATCGAAATGGCTCTCACCGATTTCCCTTCAACTTTTTGGAAGAAGAAACAGTCAGTCGGTGGTAAGAAACTGGGCCAAGCAGATACACATACCAGTAAGTAAGCGAGACATACAGCTCCTCTGATTTCCACAGAAGTAAACATGTGGACATCTGTCCAGAACGAACGGATCCTTATCGGTGTATGGGTAACAGCCTGCTCGCAGCACAGAGTGAACGATGTAATTTGCGTGACAGCATACCCAGTGTATCAGGAGCTGTAGGCGCAATATGTCTCCAGCGCAGTGTTCTTTCCATAAGCTCGAGGACATCTTTGGCTTCCGAGTACTTGTCAAGATCATCGACATTTTGTCCAGATGTGCCGAGAAACCTGAATGCTAAAACACGGAACTTGTTGATTCTTGAACAGTAATATCAAACAGAGAACACTTACTCTATACCGTCCAGTTCAAATCGATGAGGATTTGTCGCAGGTAAAAAGGTACAGTAAGCAGAAGCTCCAGGAAAAAGACACTTATGCAAGGACTGGAACAGTGTTTCAATTGTGGTGGTCATATCAACAAGCAATTCATACCTGCTGGGGCAAAGTAAAGTTTGCAGGGTCATTTGCTCCGGGCATAATATCAACTGGCATTGCTGCTGCTATCTGTTACAAGCCCAATGTCAGTAGCAAATGCGAGTGCACGGACTTACTTGAGTTAGCACAAGGTCGAGCTCCTTCACTGGTTCAGTCAACCTCGCTTGGTCCTTGGCGGAAATAGCCTGCAAATGCTAATCAAAGTGAACAAGAGCATATAAAATGTTTTTTTGGAAGACAAACCTGCCCAGCGAGTAAGTTATATTGCATATCAAGAGAATTTCCCGCAACTATCAGACGAATGACCTGAGCGCTCAACATTTGCTCCTAAACAATAAAGATCACATAAATTTTGATATATTCCTGTTGTCCGTTTACCTGTTCGTCACCCAAATGACCAGTAAGGTGATCAACCAAGAGCTGTAGTTGCAAAGGATCACAATGATCACTACCAATCCTCAAGCCAGAGATGAAAGCGACATACTTGTCCTCTGAGAAAAGACGCGATCAGACGCAAAACTTCAAGTATAGGCAGGCTCGCTTGCCTGTGATGGAAGGCAAAGGTGGCTGAGGTGGTAAACCGGGCTCGATTATTTCTTGTACAAAGAAGTCGCCGTCCTTTCCTGCCGCTCCACAAGCAGCAATGACAATGCCTGCGAGCAAAAAATGTGATTTTTTTCGAACACTTGGTCCTAAAGATACATACCGGTAACATAATTCGAGGGCACAACCACGCTGCCCACGAGCTTCACGCGACCACTCTCATCTTCTAGCACCAAATAATCATCTGGATGCATGAAATTAGAAGCTGTTGCGAGTGGAAGCTTTGAGCGCTGCAGGAGAAAGTATCAGACAACGAAGAAAAGAAAAGAGTATGGTTACCTCTTTTGCGTATTCATCCAGAATAGATGGCTTGAGCTTCATCTGCTTGTAGATCGTTCCAATCACAACGCAACGCTTCCCATCTTCCAGTCCCAAGATCGGACAAACTACAAAGCAAAAAAACAGCGATGCCGATCCGAGAAGAAAAAAGAATCTCTCACCTGGAACACCAGGAAAGCCGGATTGAACGAGCGAGCTGAGAGCTCCACGAAGCTTGTGCAGCCGGCAGTAATAGAGGTGGCTGTACTGCTGGCCCTTGTACCGCTGGACGCGCCGCTCGAAATCTTCATCCTGGGCGGCGCAGCAGCTAGGAATGCCGAAAGCGATCTTGCGAAACCGATTTCACGCACCTTCCGAGTGTATCGCGCCTCCTTCCTCTCCAGCGGCGGGGCGTCGTCCACCTCCATCGCCACTGCCGCCATAGCCACCAAGAACCCTAAAAACCAAACTAGCCGTTTGAAAAACCCCCGTCGATAATATAGGCCGAGCAAAGCACTGCGAGATCCATGGAATTGTTTAGTCCCCCCGAGAAGGACAAGGCCCCAACAGCACTGTGAATTGCGTGAATCTTCTCCTGGCCCCGCCGAATTGATGAGAATTCATGGAGATCGAGGGCCCCCACAGCCCAAGAATCGCGAGCTCTCATTGTCAAAGCACCATACGGGCTTGGATTGGGGGACCCCATCGCTTCGCTCGCGACATAAAATCGCGTCTCATCGCCCTCGCCCACTTGCTTTTGTTCGTTTCTTCCTCTCTCGACTTTTTTGGCTTTCGCCATAGCCAAGCATAAACAAATGCCAGTGGTCCACGTCACCGCGTACGAATCACCTGGCCGGTGTATGTACGGCGGGGGTGGCCATGGCTGGCCATGGCTCCACGTGACGGGCGCGGGCCCACTACGCTAGCAGACGGAGCATCGAATCTCCCGCGCGGGGTCCATGAAATGACGCCACCTGGCCCCGCAGCCGTCATAATATCCACCATGCCGTCACCGTGGTGCTATAGCCTCCACTTTGCAAATAAAAATGGGGAAAGGAAGAACTTTCACATACCCCTCTCTCTCCCTCTCCTCTCTGTCGGCAAGAAAAATTTTAGGGATCGATCGAATCGATCAATCGAATGCTTGGGGGACGTGACTGGGATCGCGGGTTTTGATAGCGAATTGAATTCCCTGTGTCACGCAGACGCGATCCTCACACAAACGATTTGGGTGGATCGATTCTCACACGCCCAAGGAGCGCACAGATGATGATCTCCAGGCAGCGGGAGCGCATTTCGAGCAATCTGACGTGCTTGATCCGGGAGCAGCGCGGCAAGAAGATCGGATCGTGCGTGGGATCACGGCGGGAGAAGCTCTTGGGGCTCAACGCCAGTCCTGCGGGCTCGGGGGATTCGACCAGTGAATTGATCGAGGAGGAAGTGTGGGCGGTGATGTACCCGGAGGAGATCCAGTGGGACGATCAATTGCGGCGGCACGAGAGCAATCGATTGTTCCGGGCGTGGATGTCGGCCAACTGGGAGGGAAATGGGAATCTTGCGAGCCCATCTCCCAATTCTTCGCGGCGATCGACAATCCAGCGCGCCGACCCCATCAATGTGCCCGATTGGACCAAGATCCTCCAGCAGAAGCGCAAGAGCGCGGGATCGCCCGAGCTGGAGCTGGAGCTCGCCGACGAGGAGGAGAAGGAGAACCACGAGTGGATTCCGCCGCACAAGCTAGCTGCGAGGCAAGACGCGGCGCGAATTCGCACTAGCTCCATGGTCGCCTTCTCGGTTCTGGAGGGCGCGGGCAGGACGCTCAAGGGCAGGGATTTGAGGCGAGTGAGAAACGCGGTGTGGGCGCAAACCGGCTTGATTGATTGATTGACGTACGGATTAGGTTGTTGGGTTGTACGGATTGTTTTTCTACCCACCTTAGCTAAGAACCCTAAAAGAAGATCAGTGTGATTTATTCTACTCTGTCATTGTGTGATCTTCGAATGGTGTCCTCCAATGGATGCTCGCGGCGGCTTTGTGGCGGTCAGGGATCCTCGCGGGAAGAATTGCGAAACCCTAGTGGCTCTTCTCCGAGAATGCAGGGTCTTGAGCGATGGCCGGCGCATCCATGCCAAGATCCGCGACCACGGGCTCGATAGGGATGTGTTCTTGGGAAATTTGTTGATCCAGATGTATGGGAAATGCGGCAGCACGGATGAGGCATCCAGGGTTTTCCAAGAAATGGCGCGCAAGAACGACTTCTCGTGGACGCTCATGATCGGCGCCTACACGCGCAACCATCGCCACGGCGATGCGGTGGATTTCTTCTTCCGCGCGATGGCCGGCGAGAGAGTGGAGCCAGATGCCTTCGCGTACTCGGCGGTTCTTGGCGCTTGTGCTAAGATGGGAGCTCTCGATCGAGGTAAGGAGATTCACGCTAGGATTATAGCTTGTGGAGCTGACACCGACCTCGTCGTCCAGAATGCGCTCGTGAGCATGTACGCTAAGTGCCGGAGCTTGGACGATGCATGGGTAGTTTTCCAGAAGATCAGGATCAAAGACGTCGTGTCTTGGAACGCGATCATCTCTGGGTATGTCTTTCACGGCCACGCTCGCGAGGCTCTGTGTGTTTATCATCGAATGCTGCTGGAAGGTAGCGAGCCGGATGCTGTCACTTTCTCCACAGTTCTCAGCGCTTGTTCGAGCATGGGACTCTTGAGCCAAGGTAAGGAGCTTCACGCAAGGATTGTTTCCATGGGTCTCGACTCAAACTTGACTTTGCAGAATTCTCTCGTGAACATGTATGGCAAGTGCAAGGATCTGGAGAGTGCGAGGAAAGTTTTCGACGGGATGACGGTGAGAGATTCCAGCTCCTGGAGCGCGCTCTTGGGAGCGTACACGCAACAGGGTCATGGAAAGCTAGCACTCACGCTCTTTCAGCGGATGGACTTGGAAGGTATAGACCCGGATGTTTTCACTTTCATTGCGGTGTTTAGTGCTTGCGCTAAGGTTGGAGTGTTGGATCAGGGCCGGGGTATCCACGAGCGGTTTCTAGCAGCGGGCTTTAAGCCTGACGTCGTGACGGGCACTGCGTTGCTGAATATGTTCGCAAAGTGTCACAGCATTTCGGACGCAAAGAACGTTTTCGACCGGATGGAAACGAAGAATCGTGTCACTTGGAACGCTATGCTGGCGGCCTACGTTCAAACCGGGGGTAACCAAGCTGCTCTCGAGCTCTTCAAAGTCATGGATAGAGAACCGGACGTGTTTACCTTCTCGACACTTTTCTCTGCTTGCTCAAACTTGCGCTCGCTGGATGCCGGCAGAGCTATCCACAAACGACTTGGTAAGTCGCTGGTTTCGGATTTGATTCTACAGAATGCCCTGCTAAACATGTATTCCAAATGTGGCAGCTTGGCGGACGTACGAAAAGTTTTCGAGAGCATGGACAGACGAGACATTGTCTCGTGGAACGCAGTTCTCGGTGCACAGGTTCTTCACGAACAGTTCAGGGAGGCTCTCAGCTTGTTCAAGAGCATGAAGATGAAGCCGGACGCCATCACATTTGCTACCGCTCTCACGGCCTGTGCGAGTTTAGAAGCACTTGAAGAAGGCAGGGAAATTCACAGGAAGACGGTGGAAGCTGGACTGGAATCGGTTACCATGGTGCGCAATGCACTCGTAACCATGTACGCAAGGTGTGGAAGCCTCGAGGATGCACAGGGAGTTTTTACGGGCACGGTAGACAGGGACGTGGTCTCCTGGAGCGCCTTGATAGCAGCACACGCTCAGCATGGACAAGACCTGGAGGCCATCAAAGTCTATCGCCGGATGAACTTGGAGGGGATTGAGGCAGACGTCTTCACGTTTGCCAGCATTTTGAGCGCGGTTTCCTCTCCGGGTCTTCTACCGGAAGGAAGAACTGTCCACAGGCAGATTATCTCTCGGGGATTCGAAGGCGATACAGTCGTAGGGACTGCGCTCGTCAACATGTACGCCAGGTGTGGAGACGTGGTTACTGCCAGGACGAACTTTGACAACCTCTGCTCGAAGAACATCGTGTCCTGGAACGCGATGATAGCTGGCTACGTCCAAGCTGGATCCAGCCAGGAGGCCTTGCTGCTCTACGAGAAGATGCAGCAGGACGAGGCCAAGCCGAAAGCAGACGGACTCACCTTCGCGAGCGTCCTGGCGGCGTGTTCCAACCTCGGAGAGATTTCCAGGGGAAGAGAACTGCACTACGACGTCGCTGCCAGTGGCTTTGCCGAGGATCTGATCGTCCAGAACGCTCTCGTCGACATGTATGGGAAGTGCGGCAACTTGGTGGAATCCAGGAACGTCTTCGAGGGGATCAAGAGCAGGAGCGTGATCTCCTGGACGTCGATGGTCACGGCGTACGCTCGGCACGGCCATGGAGCCGAGGCAGTGGAGCTGGTCTGGCGGATGAGCTTGGAAGGCGTGGAAGCCGACGACGTTACTCTCACCAGCATCCTTCAGGCTTGCAGCCACTCGGGCCTGGTGGACGCCGCTGGCAGCGTGTTTAGCACAATGGTGAGAGACCAGGGGATGCAGCCGAGCATCGAGCACAAGCTGTGCTTGATGGATCTGCTGGGACGCACCGGGTGGATCGAGGAGGCCGAGGAGTTCCTGGCGAGCAGCGAGGATCTCAAAGCTCGCGCCGCGTCATGGACGAGCTTCCTCAGCGCTTGCGAGCGCCAGAGCGAGCAGGGGAGAGCGGGCAGAGCCGCGAGAGAATTTGGGCGTTTGCATCCCAGGGAGAGCGCCAAGTTCGTCATCCTCTCAAACATGTTACACGCAATTTAAAATGGAAGCTATTCTCGTCTAAATCTAGCAGATTCCCGTTACAGAATATTCCTGTTCTGCGAATATGCTCTGACAAATGTAGAGAATATCCGCTGGAAAGTTTTTCTTCCTTAAACCTGTACGTGGCAACGCCAGGCACGATCTTCTCACTCGTTTTCCCATGGGGGAGGATCGTGAACAGGGGAAAGCGGCTGGGGTCGCGGATAAAGGAGACGGGACACCGACATTTGGGATGCAAGAATTCTCAGGGGAGGAAACCCTAGGATCGGCAGCTATGGGCGATCGAGGAGCTGAATCCGAGGCGCGCGGCGGCGATAGTAGCAGCGGCGACGGCGCGAGGATGGATCAGGTTTTCCATTGGCTGCTCCATTGGCCTTTCATTCTCCACGCCGCATTGGTCCTCGTTGTGGTGTGGATTCTTTCGCTCCTGGGGATAAATTACGCGATCGTCCCTGTCGTTGGCTTCATCTTTCTCTTTCACGTAAGTGGCTGGCTGGTCGCTCTTGGAATTGTTTTTTCTAAGATAGAATTTTGGATTTCTAGATTGAGAGACGCCATCGCGAGAAGTGGCTCCGGCGGATTCGCCACGAGGAGCGAAAGCACGCGTTTCAAAAACAGGTATGTGCTGATTGATGGTGGATCCAGTGTTGTCGGATTGGAGCTCAGCAGCGTGCTGCAGTTGTTATCAGACTTTGAGAGTGTCCGGTGGCTCAACGAGACTGTCGCAAAAGCATGGCCAGTTTTCCTGGAGAAGTTTGCGTCTCAGGATTTTCTAGCTCCTCTCATGCCGTTTTTCCTGGCCAAGTACAAGCCCTGGACAGTGGTATGTATGTTCTTCGTTTGGTGTTGAATTTTTTCGGAGGAGGTCACGTTTTTCTCCACTCTACTGGCAGCAAGATGGTGTACTGCAAAGCTTTGCTCTGGGAAGAAATCCACCCATGTTTGCGGGCATGCGAGCTCTGGATCCTTCTGGGACGGATGACGACGTGGTAATGTTTCTTGCGAGTTTTTAGACTTCTTTCTCCTAAACTTTCATGTATTTCTTTCAGGTCTTTGAAACTATTATGGAATTTGTGGCTGCTGATGATATGAGCGCGGTGCTCTCTGTTCAGCTGAGAAAGCGCCTTGGAGGGCTCTGGACAAAGTTACATATCTCGAAGCTACATATTGAAGGAAAGGTATTTGTCTGGTGCTTTTGGCTGAATGTTTGTAGAAAACTTTTGTTTTGTTTTGAGAAGGTTCGTCTTGGAGTGAGGTTTCATGGGGGATGGCCATTTGTTAGTCGTCTCCGGATCAGCTTCGAGAGTGCGCCTTACGTCCAGATCGAAGCACGGCCGCTCTCGACGTATGGGATGGACATGGCTGAGCTTCCTGGAATCGCAAGCTGGCTGGTAGATAATCTGTCACTCTTTTGTTTTGTTTGTGATAAGCTTTTTGCTTTTTTCTTTGTTCTGAATAGGACACGATGCTGATGGATGCGCTAGAGGACTCGGTCGTGAAGGTTAGAAGGTTATGCACGAGTTTGATTTTGATGATCATTGGTTTTTATAGCCAAACATGCTGGTGATAAATGTCGAAAAGATTGCAAATAGTTGGGCAACATCCGAGTACGCAACTCTTCCAAGTGGTAATTACCTCATTCAAGCTGTGTGATAGGCTTATGATCGCCTTGTTTGCAGCGGAGTCCGCGCCTCCGGTTGCTGTTGCTGTAGTTGAAATCCTTGAAGCAACACAATTAAAACCGGCTGATGTCAATGGTAAGCTAATATTCATGGATTTTATTTCTGAACCTTTTCTTTGCTTTTTGCTTTTCGTTCAGGATTGGCGGATCCTTTCGTGAAAGGAGTACTGAACACTAATCGTTTTAAAACGTCAATAAAGTGGAAGACTCTCAATCCCAAGTGGAGAGAAGTATTTCGTTTACCCATAAGAAGCTGGGAGATCCAAAACCGTATGATGTTTCACGTGAGGGACAAAGATCTCTTTCGGGACGACAATCTCGGGTTTGTGCATTTCTAGTTTGGGATTATGAGACGCTTGTGTGATTGATGGCGCTACTTTATGAACAGGTATTGCGACGTGTTACTGGCGAAGTTTAGAGGCGGCGATCGGCATGAAGTTTGCTTGCCCCTTAAAGGCGTAAAAACTGGGCGCATCACTTTCGCAATTACGGTTGAGGAAGCACCCGATTGTCAACTCGAAGTGGTAAATTCTGTGGTGATGACGATGATAGTGGTGGTTTTATTCATGATGTTGATACCTTGCTGCAGGAGGTATCGCCTAGTACAAGGCTGACTACAGATGGAGATGAATCTTTACCTGATTCACTTGGCTTGGATCATTACGAAATCATTGACACTGGCGTGAGTGCCTCGGGAATATTTTCTATAATGAGGCCCGGAAAGGCAGTGCAAAAGAAGTGGCGTGGTAGAAAAGGAAGGAAGCTCGATGAAGATGTTGAGTTGCCAGACAATACTCTCTTCAGTGGCAGCCTCGAGCGAGAGTCCGAATCTAGTGACAGCGAGGGTGACAAATCCGGCCAACCCGGGGGGAAGGCGAGGTTCTGGAAGTGGAGCCACCGTGGACCCCGAGATAAAAAGCTCGTATCCGGAGAGCTGGTTAGCATCAGCGAGAAAGGAGGACAGATGAAGCTGCGAACAGTTATCGACACGGACTCTGCTGTGACTTCTCCAGCTCCAGCTCCGGAAGATTCGACGCCAGCATTGTCTTTACCAGATAAGGCCGCTGCTAAACCAAGCGACGCGAGAACCGACTTGACTCCCACCCCTTCTGGCGTCCAAACTGGCACCAACAGTCAGGTTCCAACACCAAAGCTGGCAGAGGATTCAATGCGAGCCAGTGACGGGCTGGACGACGCTGAATCGCAGGAGGTCTCCCCCGGCCGGCGATCAATGAGAATAAGGGACAGGGCCAGGGGTGTGGTGAAGCAGGCCGAGAGGACAGCGTCCCATATCGGGCACTCGTTGTTTGGTCGCAGAAGCGGGAAAGATCTCGTCGCAACTCCCCGGTCAGACAACGCAGAGCCGGAGCAGCAGCAGGGGGTATGCTCGCCAGAAAGATCCAGCGCAACTACTCCCACCTCTGATCAACACAGCAACTGAGGATGGATGGATAGCTACGTACGAGAGCGTTATCAGCTAGTTATGATCCGGACGAGTGCTCCTATACTGGATCGAGACGGCAGGACCAGCGAGACCAGTAAAGGTTGGATTTTTATTCACTTCGGGTGGCCGAACCGAGCAGGAACACCCAGGGGCTGCGAAGACGAAGTCGAGGACGACGAGACCAGCCTCAAGGAGCTGATGAGGGGCCGGAGCTGCGCGACCTCGTCGTCCGACTTGAGCAGGAAAGGGTGGTGGAGCAGCCTGGCGGCGGACGGGCGCTGCGAGGAATTCTTCTGGAGGCAGCTCCGGATGAAGCTCTTGAACTCCGGCGACGCGTCCGGGGGTGGCGAGGGAGGATCCCCGAGGCAAATCGCCCAGACGAGCGTCGGCCAGTCGGGCTTCTGGCCGGGGGCGACGCAGGGGAAGTAGCCAATGGCGCACTCGAGCAGCGTGAGGCCGAGGCTCCAGATATCCGCGGAGGAGTCGTAGTGGCCGCCGTGACCATCCGGGTCGAATCTCTCGGGGCTCATGTAGGCGCAGGTTCCAACGAAGGAGTTGCACTGGGCGAGAGTGTGCGCGAGCTGGGTGCTCACTCCAAAGTCCGCGATCTTCACCTCGTTCTTCCGGTTGAGCAGCAGATTGGAGGGCTTGATGTCGCGGTGGACGATCTTGTTGGCGTGGAGGTACATGAGACCCTTGAGCGCCTGGCGCGTCACTCTCGCCAGGAACCTCTCGTCGATGGTCTTGCGGGCGGCCAGGACGTTGGCGAGCGTACCTCCGTCCATGAACTCGAGCACCAGCGAGATCTCGCCGCCGCGCTCGAAGACGCCGTAGCACTGGACCACGTAGGGGGATCTGGCGGAGAAGCGGCGCGTGATCTCGATCTCGCGGACGATGAGCTTGCGCACCGCCGGGTCGTGCTTCTCCTGGATGATCTTGAGCGCGTAGAGGGTGCCGGTGATGCGGTGGCGCGCCTTGTAGACCTTGCCGCCGCTGCCATGGCCGAGGATCTCCAGGCGCTCCAGATCCTCGAGGAGGACGTCCCTGCTGGTGGCGCTGCCGAGAGGATTGGATTGCTGCGGCAGTGGGAGTGGGAGTGGAGGCTTGGCGAAGCCGGCGTCGCGCGCTGGGATGGGGAGCTTGAGACTTGGGCGGAGGCTCTTCTTCACCGGCATGGTAGGCGCGACTCGCGAGAGAGGAAGTGAGGGGAAATCTATGAGATCATTGCTCCTCCTCGCGGAATTGTAATTGGGGAGGAAGATTGGAGCTGCGAGCGAGAGCGAGCGAGAGAGAGAGAGAGAGAGAGAGATAGAGAAGAAGAAGTCTTTCTTCCTGGAAGGAATGGAGATCCCTCTTCGTTGTTCTTGCCTCGTCCACGTCAGCCGACCCCCACCTAAATGCGATAAAAACTCCGCGGTTAGGGTTAGGGCTGGCCATTTTAAATTGGGGAATATTCTCTAAGCGTGGGGCATTTTAGGGTTTATGGCGGGGGTGGAGGACGATTCTCCTCCGGCGCTCAGCGCCCACGCGCTGGAGGCTTTGCGGGATTTCATGCGGGAGAGGGATTGCGGCGGTGCTGGCGACGGCGGCGAGGGTAGCGTTGGCGAGGATTGGGGCTTGAGCCAGTTCTGGTACGATGATTTTACCGCTCGGATCGTGGCCGAGGAGGTCGTTAGGGTGATTGGCGATGCGCCAGAGCGCTCGGTAGCGTGCATCGCATGCCCGTCGCTCTATACGATGCTCAAGGTACGAAGTTCGAGGAGATTGAAACGCTCTGTTTGTTTTTTCCTTGTTGTTCTTTTGTTCTCTTTTGTGTTTTTCTACGCTCAGCTGTGCTGGATCGATGTGCGCAGAAGATCTATCCAGGCATTAGAGCGCATCTCTTCGAATACGATCGTCGTTTCGCTCGTCATGGCAGTGACTTCACTTACTACGACTACAACCATCCGGAGGATTTGCCTAGACATTTCGAGCACCGTTTCTACGTCGTCGCTGCTGATCCTCCCTACCTTGTAAGAAAAAGCGAGAGAGAGAGAGAAAAAGAGACAGAAATGGATGGAGCTAGAGTGACCATCACCTCAACGTTGTTGCTCTTTAACCTTTTTCTTTTGCAGAGCGAGGAGTGCCTTGAGAAGACCACCCGGGCAGTGCAGTTCCTGTCCGAGGACCATCAGAAAAGTCCAGTCCTCTTGTTGACAGGTTTGATGCAAGCTTCGTCACCCCCATGAGATGGGACTTTTGCTTTTCGTGTACTCGCGTCCTGGGCTCATTCGGTGTATTTGGGTGCTCAGGATCGGTGCAGCAAGAACGGGCTTTCTTCCTCCTGGGAGTACAGCCGTGCGGCTTCAGGCCGGCTCACAAGCACAAGCTCGGGAACGAGTTTAAGCTCTACACGAACTACGACCCCGGGGACAATGTAAGAGGCTGGGAGCTCAAAGAGTGACAGTATGGTATGGTGGCTCAACCGTGCTTGTGATTTCTTCCACTTTAACTTCGTCCGGCTCTGTCGTTCTTCAGGCACTTTGTTTTCGTGGCCCCTGTCCAATCACTGGTGACGTTCTCGGGCCTGGGACAGCAAAGGATAAGGTGCTCCGTGTGAGTCTTTTGAGCTGGTTTCGTTCTCTACAATGATCGGCTGCACTGCTTTGCAGCGTCATCTCCTCGTTCTACGTCAGCAAGGTCCAAGCCCCGAATCGTTTGACAAAGTGCTGGGGTAGTCCTCTCTACTAGTGCTCTGGCAGCTGAGCAACGCCACGAAAGTAGTTCCAGGCGCCTGAAGAGACGTGCCTTTCTCGTCGCTTCCAAGAGTCAAGATTTTACTCTGTGGACGGAGGAGTCTGCTCCAAGCTCGTGAAGGAGGTCAGGACATCTTATCCTTGGCTGAAAGTCCGAGCATCTGAACATCCTCTCGTACCAATGCCAGGACTTTTAAGAGCGTCTGTCATGCCATGATCTCCAGATGCCGCTGCTGCCGCTCCTTGATCGCTAGCATGTTGGAGAGCAGGACGTACGTCCCGGCCTTCTTCTGGTTGAGCTCAAGCACCTCAGTGGCGGCTTTCTCTCCGCGGGACAAATCCCCGTGAGTCGAGCAGCCACCCAGGAGCGTCTTCCAGGTGATATGATCCGGAAGAACTGGCATGCTCTGGATGAGATCCTCGGCCTCTCGCAGCTGCCCGGACCGAGCTAAAACATCCACCATGCACTTGTAGTGCTCCAGCGCCGGCTCCATCCCTCGATCATAATTCATGGACCAGAAGTTCTCGAGGCTCTCTCGGACCTTCCCACCTCGGCTACACGCGGCCAGGATGGCGGACAGAGCAAACTCGTCGGGGTCCTGGCCGTCGAGCTCCATAGCCCGGAAGAGATTCACGGCCTTGTCGATATGCCCGACTTGGGCATACCCGGCTATCAGCGCTGTCCAGCCGATCACGTTGGGCGATTGGGGGCTCTCGTCAAACACCGCCTGGGCTTCTTGGAGCTGCCCGTTCTCGGCGTACGCCACCACCATCGTCGTGGAGCATTTGTCATCGCGGTCGCGAACCGGGATGGTGTGGAAGACTTCCGTGGCTTGCAGCATTTGGCCTTGCTTGGCATAGGCCTGTACCATGGCCGTCTTGGCAACCACGTCCTTCTCGGGCATAGCGTCGAAGACCACCTTGGCCTGGTCGAGTTCCTTTGCGTGTGCATGGGCCAGGACGAGGAGGCTATACGAGACGACGTTGTGCTCTGGGAGTGTGTCGAAAAGGTGGCGGGCCTCGGCTCGGTTCCCCGACTCGACAAGGGCTTGGATGAGGCAGTTCCAGGAGACGAGATCAGTGCGTGGAAGCCGCTGGAACATCTCGCGAGCTTCTTCAAGGTGCCGCCGCTCGGCAAATGCGAGCAGTAGGACGTTCCAGCACATGAGATCTCGCTCCGGCATTTGATCGAAGAACGATTTCGCGTGTTCGATGTGTCTCGCTAGTGCAAATGCCTTCACCATCACAGTCCAGGAGAAGAAGTTCCGCTGCGGCATTCGATCGAAGAACTCGCAGGAGGCGTCAAGATGCCCGCATCGGGTATGTGCTTGAAGCAGCGCAGTCCAGCACACGACGTCTCTCAGCCGCATCAACTCGAAAACTCTCCTGGAGTTTTGGAAGTCTCCCATTTGAGTGGAAGCCACTAACATTGCCGTCGAAGCTATGACGCTGTGATACGCCATCCTCTCAAACGCGGCTTTCGCCAACTTAGAATGCCCGCTCTTGGTAAATGCTTGAACCAGCGAGATCCAGCAAGAAGAACTCCTCTCCGGCATCGAATCGAACATCTTCTTCGCCTCTCGCGCATACCCATTGAGCGCATACGATTGAAACAGACACTTCCTGGCGCTGGGCTCCGGCTCTGGAATCCGATCAAACACCGCGCGGGCATCCTCCACACACCGACATTTTCCATACGCGTCGATCAAAGGGCCCAAGATCCTGGAGTCGCTCGCAAAGGGGCTCGCGCGGAGATGGGAATCGATGGCTCTGAGCTTGCGGAGATCGCTACCGCACGACTTGATCCTTGTGACCCATTCCCACCACATGTAATGCTAGGATATATGCCGCGCGTCACACCCTATATGTGCCGCGCGTCGCGAATACATACCGCCCGGCTCGGTCTACCGTCCGAGAAAATTGCCGCGCGTCACGGACTAACTACCGCGCGGCTCGATGGACCGCGGGGATAAATGCCGCGCGGTACATTGGTTTTGGTTGATGCCAGGCGTGCTAGCACTAGGGGAAGGAAGGATGGAGGCATATTCGCGGGGATTCGCTTCTCTGGCGTGTTCTTCGCTGCCCAGGAATCTAAGCAGCGCTAGGGCTCCACCATTCCATTCCTCCGCGGATTCCTTCCTTGGCTCCCGGATTTCGATCGTTCTTTTCTCGCGGGGGCGCCGCGGGGGCGTAGGGCGGCAGCCATTGCGGACGCTGTTCATGGCGCCCAGGGACGATCTGGAGATTGTTTCCGGGGATGGGGAGCTGCGCAGCGAGATCCTCCACAACATGCCCACGGTGAAGAGGGGCAAGTACCGCGCGTTCCCGGTGATTGGCAGCAACCGGCATGTGGAGACCGTCTTCGCGGCATTATACCGCCATCGGCCCAAGATGAGGTTCCGGAGGGAGTGCTTGCGGATGATCGATGGCGGCACTGTGGCGCTGGACTGGCCGGTCATGGGCGAGGATCGCGACGCCGCCAAGTGGAGAGAAAAGCTTCCATCCGATGCTCCAGTTCTCCTCTTCCTGGTAAGAACACTTCTCTCTCGTAGAGTTATAGTTTTTTCCTTCTTTTCTTGCATGCTTTGCATGGTTGGAGCTCTTTCTTTTCCATCGTTCTCGAGAAGAGTTCTTCGTTGTTTCTTCGAGAACCACGTCGAGCTTGCCAAGTAGTTTTTCTCGTTGTTTCTTCGAGAGCCACGTAGTTCTTCGTTCTTTCTAGAGTTTGCCAAGTAGTTTTTCTCGTTCTTCGTGTTCTCGATAAGAGTTCTTCGTTGTTTCTTCGAGAATCACGTAGTTCTTCGTTAGTTTTTTCCTTGGAGTTCTATGTTTTTTCTTCAAGAGTTTGCTACGTATTTCTTCGTGTTCTCACGGACTTCTTTGCTCTCCTCAGCCAGGACTAACTGGAGGAAGCCATGACTCGTACGTGAAATACTTGGTTTCAAGAGTTCGAAACATTGGATGGCACACGGTGGTATTCAACAGCCGTGGCTGTAGTGACAGTCCAGTTACGTCTCCAAAGGTACCAAAGAGGAACGAAATGCCTTTGTGGTTATTTGATTCTTCTTCTCTTTCGTTCGTAGTTCTACTCAGCTTCTTTCACAGAAGATTTGAGACAAGTCGTGAGATTTGTGGCGTATCGTTTCCCCGAGTCGAGGATCTATGCGGTCGGATGGTCGCTGGGGGCCAACATTTTAGTGCGTTATCTCGGCCAGGTTCGTGTCGTCAAGCACAAACTTTCCGACTTGGTTTACACGACTTGGTTTGTAATTGGCAGGAGGGAGAAAATTGTATACTCAGTGGCGCAGTGTCCCTGTGCAATCCTTTTGATCTTGTGGTTGCAGACGAGGACTTTCGCAAAGGTTTCAACAACATCTACGACAAGAGCCTCGCAACGAGCCTTCGGACAATCTTTAGAAAGTAAAGTCACACGAGCGTTGAGTTTCCTTCGTCGTTGTCTGTAATTCGCATTGCAGGCACGCGGCCTTGTTTGAAGAGATCGGTGGTGAATACAACATTCCTCTGGCTGCCAATGCAAAAACCGTGAGACAGTTTGACGAAGGATTAACTCGAGGTAACGAGTACTTAGTAAAAACTTGAACTTAAACTGTGTGTTTTGGCTTTCATAGTTTCGTTCGGCTACAGGTCAGTGGATGAATACTATGCCGATGCCAGCAGCTCGAAATCTATCGAGCACGTCAAAGTCCCATTGTTTTGCATCCAGGTCTTGTTCCTTTCATTTTTGTTTCTAGACAATCTCGTAAAACTCTTCCATTCCAGGCTGCCAACGATCCTATTGCTCCAAACCGAGCCATTCCTCGTGCAGCAATCAAGGTACGAGCTTTACTCGTGGAAGGAAAGCAATGTTTTTCAAACGAGTTCCTTGTCCAGGAGAATCGGAATTGTTTGCTCGTGGTGACACCGAAAGGAGGCCACCTTGGCTGGGTCGCAGGCCAAAACGCCCCGTTTAGAAATCCATGGACAGACACCGTGGTGGTGGAGTATCTGGAAGCAGTCGAGTCGCTCTACAGGGATAGAAAATCAATCCAGAGAGAGCAAGTCTCGAGAAAAGAGGACGATCACGTCGAGATCGCTTGCGCCACCTAGAGCGACGCGGCTGCTCGTTCATAGCTATTGATCGGTGTGTACATAGAGACGATTCTTTCATTCATAAAGAAGAAAAGCGAGAGCTTTCACGCAAACCCGACGAGAGCGCTCGCGAATTCTTCCGGGAGCTCGATCTGGACGTCCATTCCACCGTCCTGGATGAAGCAAAGCTCTCCATTGCGAAACTCTTTGGACGTTTTGATGGTAGCATCTTTGAGAAGCTCGTGGTCGCCACACATGCAAAGCGTCGGCTGCGTGATTCTGTCCACCAAGCTCTCGACTTTGAGAAGAAGAGGGAGCTCCCGCGCCCTGGGATTGCTCTGGAGCATCTCCAGCAGCCTCGAAGCTCGAGCGTGAGGCGGCATTTTGTAGCCTGGCTTTCCCGGCACCTTGTTCCTGATCTTCCAGAACTTTATCACGGCTTTGAGATCCTCGTCCTCGAAGTCTGGAGCTTCCGGCACGAACTTCTTCACGCTCTCGTCTAGAATCGGGACCCCCCACAGTGCCAGCTTCTTCACACTCTCCGGGAAATCCACCGCAAGCTGCATAGCTACGGCTGCTCCAATGTGATGACCCACGACAATGCTTGGCTCCGAGAGAGTTAGCAAGGGAATCGCTTCAAAGACGTACCTTGCGATGGTCTCGAGGCTGACTTCGCAGTGGAAGGACTCGCCATAGCCTGGTATGTCTATCGCCACTGCTTGGTATCCTCGACTTGCCAGCAATGGCATGACGGGCTCCCACATCTTTGATGAGCTTGGATGCTGGTGGAGAAGAAGAAAACTTCCCAGAGAATTCCCTTCCGGATCTGCTCGGCGATAGTGAATCTGGCCATCGCTCACGGAGACGTAGCCTTTTCGGATCATTTTCCACTGTGTAGTAGCCTAGAACAGTAGTCAACTCAAAAAACAAAAAGAAGCATGGATTCACTATAACAAAACAACTTTGTCACGTCTCTCTGGTTAACCTCCTGGCTGTTGAAGCTGCTTGGAGTAACGCCATGGCGGTTTCGTCGTTTTTGAGTATCTGTGGCATAAAAAAGTTTCTTGAGAACAGAGAAAAGATAAGCATGAAAGAGCGCACCTCAGCTTTCGCTATATTGTTGAGCTGTTCTTGGCGTTTGATCTGCTCCTCCAGATCGAGTATCTTCCTAGACTCGGCTTGAATAACTTCATCCGTGCGCCTATGACAAGGTGACAATGTTGCCTGACACTGGAGCTCGAAAAAACACTACTTACAATCGCTCCCTTTCGAGATCCGCACCATGCTTTTGTTGTTCTATAATCCAGAACTGGTACTCCTTGGCCATAGCTTCCGCGTCTTCCTGGAAAACTGTGTGAGAAGCTTTGTAACATTGAAATGACAAAGAATTACCTGTAGATAGTCTATAAACTTTCCGAGAGGACTTATAGCTTGGCACAGAGCTTGAATGCTTTCTCGTAACTTTTGCAACTGTTCTACGCACGAGTACTTGGTACCGAAGGAATAGAAACGAAAAGATACCTCTCACCTCGTCGCGTTTGCTGTCCGTCTCGACCTTGGTTCCACTTGGCTCCGTATACACTTCAGACAATTCCTCATCCTGGACGCTTTTCTTATCTGCGGGAACAATATCAGACACTTTTTCTATCGAGCTAGAAAAATAAAAAAGGAGAATCACAGACATTATCATCTTTATCATCCATGTTTGAGCCCCGCTGGTTCTACCTGGAATTTGCCCAAGTCCGTGAACCTCAGTTTGTATCGGAGCTGCAACAAACACTTCCTTGAGCGACTAGAAAACCACAAAAAGAAGAAGCTGACCTTGGTGGCTGAGATCCAACTCTGTGGAAGCCATGCTCTCCACTACAGCATCCTCTTCTTGCTCGTTCACAGCCCCAGGCGAATAGATAACTTGTACCTTGGTGGCATCCACAGGCTGTGGTGGTGTGGCCACTTCCTGGGTCCTCGTCTTGTTGGAAAGCTCTGCCGCGTCGGGCGAAGGACTGTAGATGGACCTCCTTAGCTTCTCGGATGATACAGACTGACTCGAGGAGGCGCTTTCACGAGATATGAGTCCACTGTAAAGCAATGCAAGTAACTTCGCGATCAAAAAGCTAAACCATTGCACAAGGAGGTACCTATGATCGGATGAAGGCATAAAGTCTCCAGCTAAACAGCGGTAGACAGCTTTTGCAGCTTTTTGGCTGTCTGTAGTGGCTGCTTGAGCCAGCATCTGTTCATAGAATTTTGTTTTTAGTATATTTTTCCAAAGCATCAACAGTTCTCACTGGCCTGCAAGAAGACGTTGGTTTGCTCGGGTTCCAGCCCAGCCAGAATCTGTACGAAAGCCAAGTAGAAATCTCGAGGCCAAGATGGAAGAAACGAAAGAAAAAACGAAGGTATACCTTGGCTGGACGCACTGGAACGTTCGCATTTAGCGTAAGGCCAACGCAGTTGATGATCTTCGTGAGATAACGCAACTTAGCGTCCTTGTCCTAGAATTTTGACAAAGAACAATGCGAGGTTTCAATGCAAAGAACAATGCGAGGAAACAAATACAAAAGAAAGTACCTTAAGCTCCAATGGAGCAAGCTCGTCGGCTGCGAAGAGTCCCTCTGCAAACCCGGTGCGTCGCGTAACCTGGAAACCAAGAAATTCTATTGCTCCAAAGAAAGAACTAGAAAAAAGAAAAACCGAGAAGACAATGCCGCAAACCTCAGAGACGATGTCGTGGAGGAATCGAAATGGCGGGCGCTTTAGCAGCGCCTCCGTGAGCTTTGGACGCTTCACGATTGGATCGATCCCGTGCTGGAGGAAGCGCTGCGTCGTCATCCAGTAGGCCTCCATTTTCTCACTCTCCTTTTCAAAAATTAGGGCTCCTCCCAAAGTTTAGGGTTCTTGGCGCAATGTCTTACGACGATGTAGAGATCGAGGACATGGAGTGGAACGAATCGCTCACGGCTTACACCTATCCCTGCCCTTGCGGCGATCTCTTCCAGATCACAAAGGTAAGGCGCGGCGCCCGCTCGATCGCCTCGCCTCCAGTTGCTTACCCTTGCTCTCTCTCTAGGCGGAGCTCAAGATCGGCGAGGAGTTTGCGAGGTGCCCAAGCTGTTCGCTTTACATCAGAGTGATCTACAACGCGGTAAGTCGATTCGAGTGTGTTGTTCTTGCGCTTCCTTCGCTGAGTGTGATTGTTTTGGCAGGAGGATTTCCAGGAGGAGAAAACTCCCATGAAGAAGAGCGCGCCAGTTCTTGTGGCAGCTTAGCGATCGAAGCCTCTCTGCCCTGTGAGTACTTAGATCGATCACAGCATTTTGTCTAGTGAGATCAGCTTAGTTCTAGCGGCAAAACTAGATTTTGTTAGAAGTTTCACAGCAACCAATCTCTGGAACACGCTAGAGAAAGGAAGATCTTTTCGCTCGCTTCTCTAGAGAGATCGATCGCTTTAACTTCTCTTGCTTGGCCGGGACCATAGAAAACTCGATCATCCATCGTCCACGGGCGCAGTGGCCAAAACAGAGACGATGGAAGCGACACCTCTCCTAAACAACAAAGGCGTCGGCTTGTTTGCTTTCGCCGTTCCATCTTGTCCCACGCCCATCAAGAAAGAAGAAAAAAAAAAGCATAGAAAAAAATACCTTTTTAAGTACAAAAATACCTTTTTTGATTTTTTTTTTTTAAAAAGTACCAGATTAAAAAACACCCAAGAAACTTAGCTCTCTTTCAGTCCTATATCTCCAGTAGCTGGGCGGTATTGCTTGTCTTGATCCTTGCATTGTGTCCTTGTCACTGGCAGCCTTTGGGCGAGCAAGGGCCATGATTTCTTTCGTGTGCCCGAGCCGATGCTTTGAAATATTCCCCTCCGGGCATATTCCCCGGGAATAATCTCGCGAGGAGCTCGCGAGCAGGGAGAAAAACAAGTCCTTTGAATGCGTTTCGCCTATGCTGGCAATGATGTATTCTCATCAAAGCGCTCCTCCCGTGGGGACCCCAGAAAAAAATTCTAGTTTTTCCTCTTTGCTTTCGTTGCTACGCTTGGATCCAAGCGAGTAGGAAAGTGTAAGAACAAAGCCAGCTCGCGCGAGCAGAGAGGAATTTTCTCCTTCGCCCCAGCCAGGGCTCCACCAGTTCTTCGCGAAAAAAAAAAAAAAAACATCAAATGGTTATCACATCGCGCACCTAGAATCGTACCAGCTATGGTGGAAATTCGAGGATGATAGAAGAAAATGGATGGAACTTGACAGAAGAACACAAAGCACAGCGTTTTGGATGAACTTTTTCCCGTTTCTGCAACTTCACTATTTTTCCCTCTCGATCATCAATGCCAAACAATCTATTATCAATCTCCAGGAGACACGCTCGCTCGATCGAGGACGATCGAGGATCGTATTTATGAGAAGCTCGAAACTTTCTACTCCCTGGGTCGGGAGTTCTACCATGAGATCTTTGGCGATTTTCTCAACACTTGCCAGCATCGTTGGTTGCTACCCACCTGGATTCGCGAACGCTCAAGTCGCCGCATCTCTCGCCGCGAGACGCGCACGTTGGTTCCCGGGATGAGCTCAGTGATGGAACGTTTGTAGAACATCTAGCTCGCAAGCAAAGTCGGGAACCTCTCTTTCTTTCTTTCCGGGAGAGCTGCGTGGATCGATTCGATACTTACATTAGAGAGGAGGAAATACAAGCAAAGAAAAAGGGAACCAAACGATCTTTTGGAGAAAGGGAGAGATGATCTTGGCCAGCAATGCGCCTTATGATCTTGGAAGAAGTAGAGGAAGAGGAGAAGTTGCGCGAGAGAGATGACCCCGGCGTGTTCTTCATCTGTGTGTTGGTGACACGTCTGGGAAAATTGGGCTTGACTTGATTGCGCCGATCGATCGAATCCATGACTTGGAGATATGTACGAAAGCTCTGGAGATCACCACCGCTTCGCAACAACATCAAACTTGGTTCTTGGAACACAATCTCCTCCCCGGTAACTATTACGAGAGAGAGAGAGAGAGAGAGAGAGAGAGAGATCACTTGGGAGGAAGAAGAAAAGCTTGAAAACACGAAAACTAGGACGAAAACTAGGGAGGATGGCTGCGAGTAGACGAATGTTTCCTTCTTTCTCGATCACGGGTGCCCATGGTGCTGGTGTGGAGGATTGCTGCGGAATGATCCCAAGGCCTTGAGCGCCGAGCCCGCTCTAAGCACGTATTGGTGATAGATCGCTGCCGCGGCAGCTCCAATGAAGGGGCCGACCCAGAAAATCCACTGGAAAAACAGAGAAAAACAGAGGATTAGACCACGAACGAACAGAGCTCTCTTCCTCTCTCTCTCTCTCTCTCTTGTTCTTACTTGATCGTCCCATGAAACACCCTTGTTGAAGATCACCGCGGCTCCAAAGCTCCTCGCCGGGTTGATGCCCGTTCCAGTGATTGGAATGGTGGCCAAGTGAACCATGAACACCGCGAATCCGATGGGAAGAGGAGCCAGCACCTGGAAAAACATTTCCCACACGAGCGCGACAGCAAAAAAACCATCAAAATCTCTGTTTTTTTGTGTTCTTCCGAGAAAAGAGGAGGGAGGAGCTCGTGATTCTTACCGGGACGTGCGAGTCTCTGGCGACGCGCTTGGGATCCGTGGCCGAGAAGACGGTGTAGACGAGAACGAAGGTGCCAATGATCTCGGCTCCCAGCCCGGTTCCTGTGCTGTAGCCCCGTGCTCTTGCCACGGAGTTTGCTCCTCCCCCCTGCTGGACGTAGAAGCTCTTCTGGAAGCCCTTTGCGAGGCCGCAGCCAACGATCGCTCCCAGGCACTGCATGATCATGTAGAAGATCGCCCGCGGCAGCGAGACCTTGCGAGCGACGAAGAGGCCGAAGGTCACAGCCGGATTGATGTGTCCTCCTAGAGAAGTTTCAAGTTAGAAGATCTTCTAGAAAGCTTGTGCTCGATCGGAAGAAGAGTGGAGAATTCACCTGAGATTCCTGCAGTGCAGTAGACAAGCACGAAGATCATGCCTCCAAACGCCCACGCGATCCCCAGGAGGCCGACGCCACCGCAGTTTGCAGCGTTTCTCGAGTGGCCGATGACTGTCTGGACTGTGATGTAGAGGAACAAGAGCGTGGCCACGAACTCGGCAATGCCGGCTCTGTAGAAGGACCATGAGCCAAACTCTTTGGGATCCACAAGCCTGGCCGGCGGTGGCTCCTCGTAATCCTTGGCCGTCACGAACGCCTCCGATTCCTTGCTCGCGTCCTTGGCCATGCTCGATCGATCGCAGTTCTTGGGCGAATTCGAATTGGAGGAGGGGAAATGCGAGAGATGGAAGAGAGGACCTCTGCTTCCTGGCACACACAGAGTCTTATAAGAGAAAAAGCTAAAGAAAAGTTGGAGCTTGGCTTGGCTGGCGCACTCACAAGGCCGAGAGAGTGAGAGAGAGAGAGAGAGAGAGATAGAGGATCCTAAGAGAAAGAAAGAGGAAAAAAATTTCCTATCTTTTTCTTCTTTTGCCCCTTTTCGAGTTGAGCGCTAAGATTGGATCACACTATAGCTTTGGAGATGTGACGATCAAACACTCCGAGAATCACAGTGGAAGTGGGAGCTTTGCTTTTAGGTAAAGCTCCTCTCGTGATTTTAATCGTCCCGGGTTTGTGCTCGTGGTAAAAGCTTATCTTTTATACCAGGCCAGTGACAGGAGAGACGGGTGGTCCCCTCACTGACGCCGTCACCTATGGCCGTCAAAGGGACCACGACCGCACACTTGGCATGGATTGGGATCAAACTACATACATTGAGAAAAATATTAGAATATTCCTGCTTTGGATCAATCAATTTTGATCAATACAAGAGTTTCGCTGTATTGTTTTCGTGAACCCTATCGTATCTATCTCTCCTTCTTGCTTGAAGGGTCTAGAGTTTGCTAGAAGAAGATATGTATTTAATGGAACTTTGGCATGTTGGTCCCCCCCTGGAAAACTCCCAAGTGTTTAATTCGCCATGTTTCGTACATGAGATGAGACCCAAGTGGGCGCGCCGTACGTGTGCATGGCGGGCGCATCCGTACAATGCGTGGGCCATGTGGGCGGTCCGTACGCCCGAATCAGGCCCGTTGGGGCGCCCTAACGGTCGGGGACCTGCCAAATTGCCGGCCGAGCACGGGTGGGCCCCACCGCTGCCACGTGAGCGCTTCCTGACGCTAGCTCTGGTCCCATCCGACCGACCATGTGGCCTCCAATGCTGCGCTGGCACGTCGGCATATGCATACACATACACACAACAGGGGAGGGCCTTATCAACAACATTCTTACTGTGATTTAAGATATGTTTAGCGCCACTTTTTAATCTTTGTTTTGGTTTTCTTTCCTACGTCGTTGCCACTGAAGGAGTTGGCTAGATGTCAAGCGTCATTTTAGGGCATTAAGCTGGATTTCATTATCAGTCACCCTCAAAGGTGGCCGCACTTAGTTTTTTATGGTTATGATGATAGGGAGTTTCTTCTCTTTGGGCGGTGGTCTTTAGTGGAGTGTTTTGTGGAGAGGGAAGTGATCATAGCAGCTAAAACCACAGCCTCATCCGATTCCTCTCCACTCAGTGGGCGGGGACAAAATTGTACGTGGGTTTGAAAAGCTAGAGATGGAGAGATTTTGTGCAGAGAAAGATTGTATAGTAGTTAGCTTCTGATGAGTGAACTTTTTGAGTTATAAATCTTACAAATTTTTTTTGAGAACTCCTTTTAAATATTTACAATTTAAATAAACACTCATTTAGGAGTTATGCATAAAATATTCTTCATACAAAATTGCTAATCACTTTAGCACATTGCCATAAGTAAATGTTAATTGTATTTTAAAATTATTTTCTTTTGTTATTATTATAGTAGAAACATTATCCAATTTCTATATCATATTCAAAAAAATTTTATAATAAGGTTTTTGTGATTCAGAAGGAAAAAATTATCCATATAGTGAAGAAAAAGTTACATCAAGTCATAAGTTTATAAGTTCAACTATATGCTTCATGATTCAGGTGATAATTTTTTAAAAATAAGTTAAATAATTTTTTGACATTATAACTATATTTTATGATTATTTGGTATAATAAATTTAAGTAGAAAATAAAAAATTATAAAATAATAATAAATAACTTACTTAATAACTAGTCCAAAAAAATTCATTTTTTCAATAAAATATAAATCATTAAAAAATATTAAAAATCAGTCATAACTGATTTTTAATCAATCATAATATTGTTATGCTCCAATTAATAACTTCTTAATAAATGAGTGAGAAAACATTATCTGAAACAAAATTTATCCTAAAATTTTAAAAAAACATTAAAATATAAATTTTAAAATAATTAGTAATATATTAAGTATTTTGTATTAAATAGTTATTTTTTTGCAAGCCTGTGACATTCCTAAATTTTTTAAAATTAATATTAGTAAAAGCACTAATAATTAATTAAAAACTTACAGAATTAAAATTTTAAAATATTAGTATTGCTTACATACATCATCTTCAATATAATGTTATAATATATAGTTAAGCCACTTAAAATTATAATTTGATAATACTATATAATAATCTATATTTTTTTATATATATAAAGATTTTGATATAGCTTCAACCACATTTTATTTTGAAGAGTTTTTGTCTATCACTTCAAAGATGCAAAAATTGAAAATTGTTTAAAGATGATCACCTTAGATGCAGGTGATATATTTTCTTTTCTTTTAAATTTTTATAATTTTTTTGTAACTATGCCATATTAATATGTATACATGTACGTTATTTTAAACATTAATATTATCACAAATTAAAAGAATGTAAAGGATGACTAAAAGTTTTTATTTCAATATGTTATTCTTTAAAACTTCATAGTTAACATTCTTAATTTTTGTAGTGTGGTAAGAGTTTAATTCTTATGATCTAAACCCGCACCATACTTCCATGATTCTACAATCCGTAATAAAAAGTAGCTCTGGTTTTTAGGTAGCATCGTAGCTAAAACTCTGCTTTGACAAACCAAGGTGTCAGAGGCTGAAAGCTCAAACGCATATGCTTACAATGCTGGAGAAGCAATCACGCTGGATAGCATTGTGTAGAGTCCAAGGCTCGCAAAATGGATCATCCAGTCAGCAATGGATGCCAAACCCACCTGCGATCACGCTTTTAACACATGCAAAAATCAAGTTAACAAATCTAAGCCTACCTGTTTAAAAATCTGAGGCAAAAGGCTTGGCCTGGTTAGCATAATCGATCCCAATGTCATAGCAAGTGGAAAAAACTGTATCACATCCTAAAAAAAAGAGAGAAAAAAGAGATCAAAGTAAAAAACTACGAAAATTGTATAGCAAAATACCTGGAGGAAAGGCCGAAGAACGGGATCACCGAGTTTCTACATGCCACAAAGTTAGAATCATTGAGACAAGGATCTCTCACTCCACCTCCATGCTTTCGAACGTTACTGAAAGGAGCTCGTTTATGAACGAAGACGAAACACCAGCATCAGGCCGCACAGACATGGCCTTTTGCAGCAGCCATGCTCCACTGAGATTGGGCTGGAAGCCAAGAACGAGATTGATTCAATCTGTATGAATTTGGATATCTCTTACCGTGTAAGGATTCAAGAGCGAGAGGCTGTTCTTGTCAAGTTTGTCAGCCTCCAAAGCCTCCGTAATCCCTGTAAATCAAGTCATATAATCCACCACCGGGATCTTCCCTTACCATTTGAAAGCCTTTGCAAGTGCCTTGCTATGCTCGCAAAACCACCAAACGAAACCGGAGATTGGATCCCGCTCGCGTCGCCAACTTGCAAAACTCTGTCGAAAGCTGCGGGCAAAGGACTGCGAGAAAAAAGAAATGGTTAGCAACGAAACATGAATGAAGAGAAAAATGTGTCTAGATTTACCTGCTTCTGTAAGTTGGAAAAATTCCAAAGAGAACACGCAGGACCTCGAGATCCTCAAGTTTCACCGCCTGGTATAATGCAATGTAGCGAAAGTTAAAAAGAAAGGAATGTTACTGACTTGGTATTCGGGCATTCGGTCCCAGTAATCTTCAAGCATGTCTTCGAGAGATGGACGGCTGGGAGTAGCGTCCATGTATGAAAACATGTACGTGGTGCGATCTCTTGGTCCCGAGCCTGCTGGAAATGCCTGCTAAGAAAGTAATTTAGCCGAGAGAAAAAGGAAAGAACGAAGAACAAAGCAACCTCCCAAAAGTATTGAGTTTTCGAGTTCTTGATGGTTGTAAATGGAGAATTTGTGTAGATGATATCGCTGGTAGTGTTGGCATGGAATCCACGAGCACAGCTCCCTACCACAAGGCAAACTCCATCCGGTGGAGAACCGCTTCGTATCTAGATCACCAGAAAAATATCTTCAAACTTTTGACGTGATGAACTTTCAATGTTAACGTTACCTGGCGAACAATCGGAGAGAAGTTTCCCATGGCATCGAGGACAAGCCTTGACAAAAGAACTCGCGCATCATCGAGTGATATGATCTGTGAAACGAATAAAAATCACGATGAAGAGAAAATTGAAAAGGATGGAAACTTACAGCACAATCGTTGTAAACAGCAATTTTCGAAGCTCCTGTTCCCTCGATAATCACTCCTCCGGCTTCCAAAAATCTTTTCTTTAGCGTTTCGATCAAACGAGCTGGCCTGGAAGAACAAAAACAAAAGAAAAAACTTGAATTAATGACAAAAGTCGATCGAAGGAATTCACTACTTGCGAGATTCCAAGGTTGAGGATGTTCTTCACCCAAAGCTCCGAGCCTCCATCGAAGCCACAACGATTCTGATAAAAATGAGAACTCAAAGACGGAAAGAAACGAGTAAGAATACCGGATTGAACTCAGCGGATATAACGCTTGCCAGCTCCTCGGGAGTAATCAATCCAATATCAACAAGCTCTTGGATCTCTTTTCTAGAAATGTTCCACTCTTGCGCACGCTGCAGCAATAGCGAGATCAAACTGGAAGTTATCAACGAGGAAGAGAAGAAACTACGCACCCCTCGCAAAACGTTCTTCTCCACGACAGCAACCTTGAATCCTTTCAATGCAAGTGCTGCCGCGAAGAAAATCCCAAGCGTTCCACCACATACCACCACGTCGAATGCCATGGAAACTTCTCTCGAATCCGTCGGGCATTGAGCGTCGTGACGAGTGACAATCTCTGGAATAGTTCCTGAAACATTCAAATAATCGGGTTGGTCTTTCCACGAGAAGAGAGAGAGAGAGAGCACCTGATGCTCTAGACCGCAGGCGAAACCACAAATCGTCCAAACGCTTGAGCGCTTGATATGTGGAAGCACCACCCGCGCCTCCAGCCTCGCCATCGCTCACTGCTATGCTATCCATGATTCTCTGGGAGAATTGCGAGCTCCATGGTTGAGCATTGAAGAAATCCAACACACATACCTGGGTTCTGGACTTGGTAGCAGCCACAGAAGAGGTAGAGCAACAAGAAACTCTACCGCAAACGCGGCGACGCATTGGCGCTCTTCGTGGCAGCGCGGCGAATGGAACGGTAGTCGCCATTACTATGCCCTTGTTGACCATTGTTGACTTTAAAGCATATATTATGAACATCCGAAATCAGGGAATTGCTCATGCACACGTGCTCATGACCCTTTCTTTTTTATTTTGTGTTAGATATCTTGTAGAAATTTGTTCCATTAAAGAAAAAAATAATTTCCTTCTAGTTTCGGTGGTTTACACCTTCAGTCTTCTAAGCAGTATATATCTACCTCGCAAAAACACATTTGTGTAAGCTTTGCAACAGGACGTGAGGAGCAGTGTTGGAGGGATCCAGCTCAAAAACATGTTTCGCAGCATCCTCTCCAACACCAACATCACACTGAAGCTTGCAAGCTCCAAGCTGAGCTCTTCAAGCAACCGGACATCCTGGCAAAAAGCTTATATGTCAGCTGGCCAGTTCTCGCCAACATATCCACGACACAGCTATAGTGCTCCCTGGCTGGACCTATCCCATAGTCAAATTGCATGCTCCACAAACACTCAAGAGCTTGATCTATTCATCCCAATGGCTGCAAGCGACCAATAAGCTCATGAAATTTATCCGGTTTGGCCTCACTCCTTCCACGGCCATTTCTTGGAAAACTTTGAGCGATTTGATACCATCTCCGGCGTGTGATCAAACACGTCCATGAGGTCATGTCTCTGACCTTCATACGCTGGAACACCTCTATCACCGTCTACTCGAAGGCTTCCTTGGCTTTAAACACGTCTCCACACTACACATAGATGCATATCAGCACACTAAAGGTCACGAGATTTTTCATGAGAGAAATTGTAGAGAATCTCCAAAGTGACCCCTTTGAGCATATGCGGAGACCATCCACACTAGTGGCTGGAACTTGGTCAAATAATCGTTTTGCGTCCTCAACACGGCCATTTGATGCAAAAACTGTGATTAAAACCGTAAAAGCGACGAGGTCCCAGAATGGCATCTTCGAAAACAGTTTTCCTCCCATAGACTTCAAGCATTGTGTTCCAAGTGATCATGTATGATCTTCGATTTTTCTGAACTCAAAGATTCAAGGATGAAAAATTACAAGATCTTCAAAGTATTCCACACCATTAAAACACAATTATAATATTCTTTTGTCTATTTCGAAAAAATATTTTGGTCCTTTATTAGAAAACTGACGAATTTAGATTACGACAAAACGCACAACAAATTCCAATGACGGTGTCTTCTTTTCTTGTGTCCTGCCTGTTTGCACATGTCACTGTGGGTTTGATCATCTAGTATGGGTCTACAGTGGCGACTGGTAATTTCATCCTCTTGAGCAGCACTGACTCGCCTCCCACAATCCACATCCAAGGCTTTCGCGGGAATATCTCTTCTCAACGGTGGTGGCAGATCAAAGAGCACTAGTAGCTCCTTCCAAGGTCTTCAACTGTTCCTTCCAATACTAGCCACAATATTCCATACCCGAATCCTGTGAGTACGAGGAACCACACGTTCGTTCCGCAACGGAACCGCTGGTGAAGCCCATGTCGTCCTCTCGCTGGTTGATATCATCCAGCAGTACCATTGATTTGATCAAATGCAAGCTTGGCGGCGTACACATTCCCGTTCCGGGCATAGACCGAGAAAAGAATCGCCCACGAAAAAGAGTCTTTGTTCTGGATTCCATCTAAAGTCTCCCGTGCCAGCTCTGCCTTGTTCTACACAAACACATTGTTTAGATCGACCAGAGCCGTCACCTTGAATGGACATCACGCAGTGCTGGAACTGTCTTGCGAGATCTAATCAGCTTCCATCCATAATTTCTCTTCAAAGAAAATCACATCATGGAATGCTATGAGAACTTATAGATATAGAGAAGCTGGCAGGGCAAAACATATAGGAGCTATCTAACACTACTACTAACGTTGAGAGGCAGAAGCTACAACGTTGGGATGAAGCTCACTGGAAAAAAGTCCATGCAATTGAGAAGCTTACAAGAGGCAAGCAAGAAAGTGTGTCGTTTCTCTATCTGAACCAGGAACTAAAGCAGATGCCCAAACATCCTTTGTTGCCGGGGTATACATGTATAAGCTCGCCCGATTCCTTTGTTACTTGTAAAGTGGATTGAAAGGATTATGCAATGCTGTTCGTTGGAACCTCTACACTCAAAGCACAACAATGCGGATAATTAACCAGAGAGTTCTTACTGTAAGCTTTTTCAAGGATTTGCTACAAGCATGCCTGAATCATCAACTTCTTTTTTGTCAGGGAAAAGTGTAGCCTGCAACGACATTGAACAAAAGGTCAGTTCTTTTGTCACCAGCAGCAGAAAGGCAAAATGAAAGTGAGCGAGTACTAACTTCCGCACTGATAGTTGTGAGGTAGCTCCCAGTTGCACTGCTTTGCGATTTTAAGAGCGGTGCTGAGCAGATGCTCAGTGATCATTTTGGTGACATCTTTGGTGATCTTGGAACAGAGGCAGTCGAGCTGGGCGCTCCTCACGAACTTGCAGCACTTGGATGACGGTTTGGTTCCAAAGAGCACGGCAGTCATGCAATTCCCGGCGAGACCATTCACTTGGCTATCGCAGTCGAGAGTCGCATCATCGTCGGCAGCAACCTGGATCAGGAACAGAGAGATCAAGAGCAGGAAAACTCCAGAGCACAGGACAAGAGTCGCCCGGGGCTTGATCGTCTCCATTTGTGCTGCTCCCGCGCCGGAGGACGAAGGAGAGACACTCGAGACTGGGGAGCGATCTAGCAACGAACTCGAGAGAAGAGCAGCATTTATCTGTGATCGGTTTCCATTGAAAGGAGTTTTTTTTTCGGATGGGTGGGCTGAGCACAAATCTGGTGCTGCACAGCACGTTTATTCCTAGAAAGCAACCTTTATACATTTTCTTAAACAGAAGTGCTGATTATTTTCGGTATTGAAATAAGCGAAATAGTGGTCTACGTGATGTAGAACTCCAGATCTTTTCTTTCTTTGGACTTTTTGAGCTTACCTTAATTGCATACGGATAAAGCCTTCATTCCACCCTACAAACACAAGAAATCAACTCGCGAACACTGATCCATCAGTCTCATGCCTCACAGTGGGATAGATGAAACAGACCAACAAAAAAGCTTGCCTCGAATATAAATAACCAAAATAAAAGGAGAAAAGATGGCGTCGCCTGGAACGAGATGATCCAGGCGTATGCCCGGTTTGGGCATCTTGGCCGGGAGATGATGGATCACACACCGACGACGCCTCGCGCATCGTGATGATCCAGGGCGCCGGGAAGCTGCGCAGGATCCGCGACGGAGACGATCTTCGCCAGCGTCACACTCGATCGCGTCGCTTACAACACGCTCCTCATGGCCTATGCCCGCGCTGGGCTCCACCAGGAAGATCTTCCACACTCTGGACGACAAGGAACGAGATTTTTAAGAGAATAATCTAGCTTTTTAATTCGAGAATTTGTTCCATTTTTTTAAACAAAAAATAATTTGGGCGGCATATACCTCGCAAAAGCACATTTGTGTAAGCTTCGCAATAGGACGTGAGGAATAAACATCCTCTCCAACACCACCATCACACTGAAACTTGCAAGCTCCAAGATGAGCTCCCCAAGCAACCGGACATCCTGGCAAAAAGCTTATAACCTGTCGAGCCTCTGTCAGCTGGCCAGTTCTCTCCAACATATTCACAACACAGCTATAGTGCTCCCTGGCGTGGATCTATCCCATAGTCAATTGTTGCATGCTCCACAAACACTCAAGAGCTTGATCTATCCATCCCATATGGCTGCAAGCGACAAGCTCATGAAACTTATCCGGTTTGGCCTCACTCCTTCCATTGCCATTTCTTGGAAAACTTGATTTGACACCATCTCTGGCGTGGGAATGAGCTATGGTCAAACACGTCCACGAGATCATGTCTCTGGCCTTCATACGCTGGAACACCTCTATCACTTTGGATCGATCTACTCGTCATGGACAGCATTGATCCAAGCTTTCGTGGACAATCTCAAGGAAGCATATTCCAGAGAGGAACTTGGTAGCGTGGAACTGTCTAATGGTAGACCTGTTACGAAAAAAGCGCCAAGGGTGTGTTCGATCGAATGCCCGCTTGGGACTCAATAAGCTGCTCAACCGTGCTCGTTTGCAGCTCTCACTATTTGGATGGATCGGAGTCACTGTTTGAGAGAAGACGGGGAGAAGACACTGAGCTCCTGGAATGCAATCTTATCCATGCATTCTGGGCAAGGGCTCCACGTCCAGTGGAATCGACTCGAAGGCTTCCTTGGCTTTAAACACGTCAGATGCTTATCATCGCACTAAAGGTGACGAGAATTTTCATGAGTGAAAATGTAGAGAATCTCCAAAGTGACCGCTTTGAGCATATGCTGTGCCCATCACATTCCATGTTACCACTAGTGGCTGGAACTTGGTCAAATAATCGTTTTGTTTCCTCAACACGATAAAAACCGTAAAAGAGACGAGGTCCATCTTCGAAAACAGTGTTCTTGCTGTATTCTCCTCCTTGTTTTGGGCATACACTTCAAGCATTGTGTTCCAAGTGATCATGTCTCGCTCTTCGGTGCTTCTGAAAAAGTCTCTTTGATCAGCCATACTGATGGAATTATAAGAGATGAGATTCCATCTTGGCAAATATCCGAGTACATAGAAACAATCGTGTATGCTTCTTCTATGCATGCACGTTCTTCTATGATCTATATTGATCTGGTTTTCACAGGACCTGTGACGGCCAGCATTCTCGAGCCTTACGTCGCTCCTTCCAATACCAGCCACAACATTCCATACCCGAATCCTTTGAGTACGAGGAACCACACGTATGATTTCGTGCTCGTCCCGCAAAGGTACCCGCTGGTGAAGCCCATGGACACCCGTGTCGTCCTCTCGCTGGCTGATATCATCCAGCAGTACCATTGCGGAAGCCCTCTGGAGACTGTTTCGTTCACCACCTCTCTCCACTAGAAGTAAAAAGCTTATATGAATGAATGAATGGAAATCGATCGCTTGTAAACGCTCCATTGGCAAGCTTATAGAGGTTGAGGTAGTTTTGTTTCTTCGAAGTTCTGTGATATAATCAGTTTCTTAGAGAAAATTTCATTCTCTCGCGGCCACAAAAAAGCTCTGCTGGTCGTCGGATGTTGAGACCTCAGTGTGAAAAAATGCCACGTTCAAAAAGTTCCTAAATGCTATCCTCGTTTTCAATGTTTCCGCACACGCCAACTTTTCAGACAGCGGTCAAACAAAAATTTCGAAGTTCCAAGCCACTAACTTCCATAGTAGCGATACACATATGGCGACGCCACCCCTGGATCCAAACTCGACGCAGCCTCCGCCACCCTTTGCCCCCGATGGGCATCTCCCTGCGTCTTGCAAGCGCCCAGCAAAGTCACCCACGAAACAAAGTCGGCCTTGAACGGCATCCCCCGGATCACCTCCTCGGCGAGCTCCAATTGTCCGAGCCTTCCCAGCATATCAATCACACACCGGTAGTGCTCCAACGTAACCCCGACGTTGTAGTCGCCATGCAAGGCCACGAAGAAGTCCCGGCCGCTGTACAAGAGCCCCGCGTGGCTGCATGCCGTCAAGATGGAGAGGAACGCCACGGCATCCGGCTGCATCCCCTCGAGCCCAAACTCTCGAAACAGCTCCAGCGCCGCGCCGCCATGGCCATTCCGTGCGTGGGCGACGATCACCGCCGTCCAGGCCGTCACGTCCCTGCGCTGGATCCCCTGGAACGCCTCCATGGCCAGCTCCACGCAGCCGAGGTTGCCATACATGTTTACCAGCGCCGTGAGAACGAGGAGGTGCGTGGTAAGATCAAGTCTCGTCCCAGCGCGTATCGCAGCGTGGATGGTTTTGCCGCGCTCCAAGGATCGCGCGGCGGTGCAAGCGTCCAGCACCGCGATGAGGGTGATGGAGTCTGGGGCCTCGCCGTAGAGATCCATGATCCGGAAGAGATGGATGCCTTCCTCGCCATCCCCAGACTGGGCATATGCCGCGATCATCGTGTTCCAGGAGATCAAGTCGCGCTCGCGCATTGTGTCGAAGATCTCCCTTGCGGCGGCGACGCGCTGGAACTTGGAGCCGTAGAGGTTGATGAGCGCGTTTTCTACCTTGAGCGGCGATCTCACCTTGGCATTGATGAAGCTCGAGTGGATGAAGTGCCCGTTTTCCAGATCCGAGCACGCCTCGATCACACTCAGGAATGTGATGTCGTCGGGGCGCACGGGGCTCGCGATCAATCTCTTGAAAAGCGTGAGGGCTTCCTCGCTGCCGTGCTTCGCATGAGCATAGGCCGCGATCATGGTGTTCCACGAAGCCGCGTCGCGGGTGGGCATATTCTCAAACAAGCCTCTCGCTACCAAAATATGCCCATTCTGGGCATATGCTGTTACCAGCGAGTTCCACGAAATGACATCTTTTTGCGGCATCCTGTCAAACATTTCCTTCGCCTCACACAACATCCCTCTCTCTGAATACGCCGCCAAGAGTGTGTTCCACGACACCACATTCTTCCTCGGCATCTCCCCAAACACCCGCCTCGCCTCGTCAAAATGCCCATTCTGGGTATATGCAGCGATCATGGTGTTCCACGAGAAAACATTCGGTCGGAGAATGCCCTCGAAGACCCTTCGCGCGTCGTCGATGCTCCCGCACTTCCCATACATGTTGATCAAGTGATTTCCAAGGAAAGTATTGCACCGATCCTGCCCGGCAGTCGCCAAATGCCGGTGGATTCTCCTGCCTCCTTCCAGCGACGAGGAGCGTCCCAGGCGCTGGAGCAGTGACGAGTAGATAAAACAATCGGCCTCGGCATTGTCGGGAGGGAGGCGTAGGACATCGTCGACGCTCCTGGCTAAGTCCATTCCCGCTTGTTAGTTCCAAGGTTTGAAAATCCATCTCCAAAACCATGCCCACGTTGACCAAGTTTAATCCCATTTGGTCAACGGCTCAATTAGTGTAGTTCCATTGACCAAGGAATAAAAGGAAACCAAGAACCCTAGATTTCATGTAGTTATCGTACGAACGCAGGAGGAGAAAATAGCTAGCTATAGTTTGTTCCACCAATTGTGGTGCAAAGGTAGAATTGCCTGTTGCTATCGTCATCCAAATTCCATTGGAGCTATTATCAACCATGCATTGGCTACTTGTATAGAGAAATTTTGTGGCCCATTCTTCCACTCACGAATCGCGGCCATGGCCAAATCTGTCCTAAGGACAGGTACTTTGGCAAGGACACCCTGCCCTTACACGCCCATTTCTTTTTCTCTAGCTCCCCTAGCGCGAGAATAAGCGAGGGATGAGCACGAGCGTGCACGGCTATGGCGGCCGGCCAGTACTTCCCTGCCGCGCCTCCGCAATGCTTGGAGGCCGTGGGAATGCCGGCGGCCGAGATCTTCGTTCTTGAGAGATAGATAGATCGATCGATCGGGCAGTGGGAGGGGAAAATTTCGGCCTTGCGAGGATGATCAGCTCAAGCATGAATGTGGTGATGACGGTCTTGGGATTCGCGGTGAGCGCGACGTTCATCGTCTTCGTTTGCGCGCGGCTGCTGTGGCGGCGGCGGAGGCGGCGCGGGGCAGCGGCGCCGGGATTTCAAGTAGCTTCGGTAAGATTATCTCGATTTGGCCTTGGATTTCTGGGAAGTAGCGAGCGCATAGTTTCATGCAAGAGCTAAAATAGTTCTTTGTTTGGTTTCTTTCGTTCTTTTTTTCCTTTGCTTGGTGGTGCTTTAGCTCAAACTTAGCTATCTAAGTAGACATTTTCTTAGAACTGGTGGTTGATCCCTTTGATTTTCATTTTTTTTTTCCAGATGGAGAGGAGCTTGAGTGGACTTGAGCCATCGGTGGTTGCGACGTTTCCAAGCGTGAAGTACAACCAGCGGATGTTTTCGCGAGAAGATGCCTTGTAAGCCTTTGTTTTTCGTATATAGTTTGCTCGGCAAGGAGATATTGTCGCTAAAGCGTGTCCTGGTTTATCCTTTTGTTTATGCAGATGTACTGTGTGTCTCAACGATTATGCTGAGAAAGAAATGCTTCGCCTCCTTCCATGGTGTGGACATGCCTTCCACATCGACTGTATAGACGCATGGCTGAGACAACACTCGACATGTCCCATCTGCCGGCTCTCTCTCCGCAGTTCTCCGGACAGGCGGCTGGTAAACTATTCCCAGATGAATCCTCAGATGGCTCCAGCGATCAGACCACTGTTTGATCCAGAGCTGCAGCTCTCGAATGAGATGGAGCTTCAGTCACAGCATCCTCAGCATCCTCAGCAGCAGCAAAGTGTAGTCAGCCAGCAGCAAGGATGGAGCTCTCAAGTTTTCGAGTACGAAGGAACCGGGAGCGACCACCGAAGGCTCGTGAGCAGCAGACCAATGAGGCCTGGAAAATGGAGTCTTAAATTGTGGAAGAGGTCGGATAGAGATGACGAGCATGGAGGTGGTGGTGATCACTCTGCTCAGCTCTTTGGTGCTCCTAGCTCGCAAGATTCCTCGGTGACTATCAACATCAACATTGGTCAGATGCCTCCACACGAAGTGAGTGGAGCTAACAATCACGACAGTGACGCCACCAACAGCAACAGATCGGACGTTTCATCCGCGAACGACGTGAGTATCAGTCTCCAAAGTCCGCGGTGTGCAAACGGCCGTGATGGTAATTAAAAGCTTTCTTTCCTTTCCGTTTGTTTCTCAGCGTCTCACTCCCAGGTCGACATGACGAGCAGCGAGAGATAAATGTGGACTCGAGCCATCACAGCAGACCCGTGAACCTGTCAATCGAGCTCAACGTGTGTGACGGCGCGATTCTTGGATACTCGGCAGCGTCCCGCTCGTGAATCGTTTCCAAGTTGACAATGCTTTCGCTCTCATGAACGTTTTTTGTTCGTTTCTCGTTCCAATGTACAGAAGAAAAACGACGACGTCCTTCATTTCTCCCATCGTCGCAGTTCTCTCCCGATTGTAAAGAGATGAGCCATAGGAATTCCATAGTCTCTGACACTGGGATCCTTGTCCGGCAGCGCTTCATCCAGGTACTGAATCATCTCCCGCTTGCAAACGTGATCATGGGCACTGACAAACTCGAACTTTGGTGAAACAGTGATCCTCGCCGCTCGCTCGGTGTCCCCGTGAGCCTCACAGGCACGCTTGAGAATCGTCCAGGCAGCAGCATCAGGAAAGAAAGGCATCGAGTTCACGAGCTCCTCGGCACGATCCAGCAGCTTGGCATTCCTCCCGAGAAGCTCGAGGAGGCAGTGGTAGTGCTCGAGGCCAGGAGGTACGCCATAGTCTCGGCCCATGGAGCTGAGATAGTAGCGCGCCCGCTTCAGCTGACAGGCAGTTAAAACGGCCGTGAAAGCCAGGCGAGTGGGATCGACGCCCTCGAACACCATCCGGTGGAAGAAATGGATCGCGGCTCTGGGATGCCCACTCCGGGCATAGCCACCGATCATCACTGCCCAGGTGGTGGCGTTCTTCAAGATGAGGCTGTCAAACAAGCGCTTGGCCTGGAACACAAGCCCAGCTCGAGCGTAAGCTCCGACCATCGCAGTGGACGCTGCGACGCACTCGTATGGCGATCGATCGAAGAGCTCCTCGGCGTCGTGGACGAGATCGCGCTGCGCGTAGCACTGGATCATGTTGCTCCAGCTGGTCTCGTTCCTGGCGTCGTCCAGATCGTGGAAGATCTTCCTGGCGGCGTCGACGAGCCCAGCGCGGGCATAGGCCGTTAGCAGCGCGTTGTAAGCGACGCGATCGAGTGTGACGCTGGCGAAGATCGTCTCGGCGTCGCGGATCCTGCCCAGCCTCCCGGCGGCCTGGATCATCGCTATGCGCGAGGCGTCGTCGGTGCGTCCCGGGCGGAGATCCATCATCTCCAGCGCGCGGCCAAGATGCCCAAACCGGGCATACGCCTGGATCATCTCGTTCCAGGCGACGCCATCGAGCTCCTCAATCTCGCGGAGGAGCTCGCGCGCCTGGGCGAGATGCCCGGACTGGGCATAGGCAGTGACCATCATCCGGTACGTGATTGGGTTCTTGGAATGCCCAGGCATGGAATCAAACACTTCCTTGGCTTGATCGAAGAGACCCTTCTTACAGTAGGCCTGGATCACTACGTTCCAGGCGATGTCGATCCTGGTCACTGGCATCGCCCAGAGCATCCCTCGCGCGGTGTCGAGATGATCGCTCTTGACGAGCGCGGTAAACATGATACACCACGTCACGAGCTCCTGGACGGGGCGGCGATCGTAGAGAGCCTTGGCGTCGGCGAGCCTGTTCTTGGCGAGGTAAGCTCCCAGCATCACGTTGCGAGTGTGAGCGGTGATCGTCGGGATCTTGTCGAAGAGCTCTCGCGCCTCGTCGATCTTCCCGGCCAGGATGTAGGCCTGGACCATGAAGTGCCAGGCGATGTTGCCGGGTCTTGGCAGGCTCTCGAAGGTCACGCGCGCTTCTTCCAGGCAGCTGTTCTTGCCGAAGAGCTCGATCACCAGCGTCGCGAGCTCGGTGTTCTCGGTGAAGACGCCGCGCTCCAGGCACAGAGGGAGGATCTTCCTGGCGAACATCACCTTACCTTTCCTCACGCACTCCAGCATCTTGAGCTCCAGCCCCCATCCCCGGTTCCTTGGAGCGAGCGGGTGTTGCAAGAATGGCTTTCCACCCCATGTCTCCCTCCTGCTGTAGCTCCTGGCAAGCACGAATCTCGCAAGAACTCCTAGAGCTCTTCTCCTCGGCAACATAAGATCGATCACCCTCTACGATCCCGCGACCACATTGGATAGAAAAACGATCTGGGAGAGAGAAAAAATCTCTTTTTGATGGAACTTCTACGTGCCCAAGACCGCATTCGATAGCAAAACATACGGAGCGCCATCCTGAGAATCGGAGTCCTGCGCTTGCTCGACTCCAAACGCTGCGAGCTCCAGATTCCCGTGGATCTTGCAAGCGCCCACGAAGCTCGTCCACGCCACGCTCTCGGCGCCAAACGGCATGGACTCGAGCAGCTCTTTGGCGTCGAGAAGCCGGCCAGCTCTGGCCAGAGCATCCGCCATGCATCGAAAGTGCTGCGCGTCCCACTCCACGGAGTAGTCCGACGCCATGGACAGGAATACCTCCTTGCTTTCGGCCACCAGGCCGATGTGGCTGTGAGCCGTGAGCAGCAGCAGGCAGCTCACCGCATCCGGATCGACTCCCTCCATCACCATCGCCGCGAAGAGCTCGATCACTTCGCGAAACAGCGCCCTTCTCGCATAGGCCGACATGATCGAGTTCCAGGAGACGAGATCTCTGTCCGGGACGTTGTCGAAAAACCACCTCGATTCTTGGATGTGTCCCCTCTGAGCGTATGCTTCCGAGACGATTGTCCACGAGACGGTGTCGCACTGCGGCATTCTGTCAAAGAACTCCTTGGCGCTCTCAAGATGGCCGGTTTGAGCATACGCTCCGAGCAGCGCGTTCCACGACACTGATCCCCTGTAAGGCATGGTGGCGAACGTCAGTTTTGTGTTTTCCAAGTCTCCGTGATCAGAGTAGGCCGAAAGCATCGTCTGCCAACACCTCCAACTTCGTTTCGGCATGCGATCGAATATGTTTATCACTTCCACAAGATGCCCGTTTGTTGCATTTACTGAGAGCAACGCTGTCCAAGACACTGGATCTCTTTCCGGTATGCGATCAAACATCACCTTGCTGATTTCCAAAGCATCGTTCTCCGCATAAGCAACCACCATACTCGTCATCGCGACAGTGCTTCTTTCCGGCACAATCTCAAACATCCTCACAGCCTCCACAAAATGCCCAGCCTGGGTATAAGCTTTGATCATCGCGCCCCACGAAACATCATCCCTCCCAGGCATCGCATCAAATACCATCTTCGATTCCCTCACCAATCCCTGCTGCCCAAACGTAGAGATCATCGCATTGGACGGCACGATCCCCCACTCTGGCATCCTCAAGAACAAGCCCCTCGCGCCATCCAGATCGCCATCCTCGCTATACGCCACAAGCATCGCGGTCCACGGCACCACGTCGCGCTCCGGCAGTCCATCGAACAGCGCCTTGGCGTGCTCCACATCCCTGTTCCGCGCAAACGCCACCGCCATGGCGGTCATGGTGAGCGCGTCCCAGCCCGGCATCCGGAGGAAGACCCCGTGCGCTTCATCCAGATCGCCGTCCTGGGCGTGCGAGTGGAGGATCGTGGTCCAGGAGACCTCGTTCTTGAGCGGCATCGCGTGGAAGAGCTGGCGCGCGCGATCGGCATGGCCGTTGGTGGCGTAGGCCGAGATTAAGATGTTCCAGGAGAAGGAGTTGGGGCGGCGGATGGTGGCAAACACGGATCGAGCGTCGTCCGGGCTGCCGCATTTGCCATACATGTCGATGAGGAGATTGGCGATGAATCTGTCATCGGCAAGATGGATCGCCTGGAGCCGCGAGTGGAGGCGCCTGGCTTGGAGGAGATCGCGCTTCCTGGCGCAGGAGATCACGAGCTGGGCGTAGGAATCCGCTGGATCGAGGTGCACTCGAAGGAGGGACATTCAAGTGGAGGCATATTCGGGGTTTTAGGGTTCTTATATGATCTAACGGCTACTATACATTTAGATCAATCTCGGGGATCTCACCACAAATCAACTAGCGTTTGCGTAAGTTCGCTATAACGGAGGACGAGTTTTCTTGTGCAAAATCTAGCTCCTTAAGTTGGAGCCTTTCATCGCCCTCGTCACTGCACAGCCAGGGAGCGATCCAACTTCGAAGATTTCTCTCTCGGACGCTGGAGCGCCGAAATCGAACTGCTCGAGACGAACTCCGTGATGAAGATAGGAAGGATTCTGGTGCAAGAACCTGAGAAGAGCCAAAGTAGAAAGAGATGAGAGCTTCGAGAAAACTTCTTGCTTACTCGTTCATGTCTGGCAGAGAGCGAATCCTGGCTTGGCATGGAGAGAGATAGTATCTGTGACGAAACACAACCTTGTTACGAAAAATCTGGTAGAGAAGAAATGGTAAAAGCTTACACGTCGCATAGCCTGGAGCTTCCGCTGCCACGAAGAATGATCTCCCGGATCCATCCCCGCGGCACCGGAGGTGGAAGTTTGAGCGATGGTTTGAGAGCTTTCTGCGGCACTCGTGAACCATTTTTCTTGTTCAATCCCCTGGCGCTTCTGTCACGGTTTCTCGACTGCCTGACGCATCTCTGGAGCACTAGCTTGGCAGGAGAATCGCGTGCTCGTTTCTTGCCTGCGACGTAGCTCTTATCAGCAGGTTGTGGTATCGTGTAACAAAACTGGTCTACGCTCAAGTCATAGTACTCGGGGTGATCTTCAAGGAACCTGGAAGAACAGTAAACATCCGATAAGTTCAGGACATTCGAAGTTAGTTCTAAGCCACAAGTAGTAACAAAATCTAGTCTAGAACTAGAATAAAGGATGCCTACCACCTCTAGCAAGTTTTGGAGGACATCTAAGCTAGCTATAGAATCTAAGCTTGCTTATAGTAAGCTATAGAAAAGGAAATCTAAGCTAGCTATAGAATCTATAAGCGAAAAGGAAAATCTAAGCTATAAGGTACGAGAAAGAAACTTACTTTGCAACCTCGACCATGGAGCGCAGCTTCTTCCCGCAAGGAGAAATGTAGTATCTAGGAACCAAGAAGAAAAGAAGTGGGCGCTCGATCGAGAGAGAAAGAAGATATACGAAACTTACATGTCGCCAAACCTGGAGCACCCTTCGCTGCGAATGACGAAGTCGCGCTTCCAGCCGGCGGGCGTCTTGGGCAGATTGGGCTTGTCCAGCGCCCACAATCGATCATCGCCCTCCTGCTGGATGTCGCCCTTGATGTCGCAACACGCATCGGGCCTCCAGATTCTGGCGTCCTCGCACACCCACGGATTCTCCAGCACCCGCGCCCGGATGGATTCGTAGACCTCCTCGCTGGGCACCAGCCGCCATTGGCCGCAGCGCGAGCATTGGACTGTGTAGGCCTGGACCTCCGGCCTGGGGCCCTTTCTCCGCGTGAAACATCGCCTCACCTCCGCCGCCGGAACGATCGATCGGCCATCCTCTGCGGTGCTGAGCGGAATGGGGCAAAGGAGCGATCGCTCCTCCGCCAGCGCCAGTTCCACCCCACTCATTTCTAGCTCGGATCTGGATGTCCACCTCTACCTAGGTTTTGCGGACGATTCATATGCACCCACGCGACACACTCGCACTGGTGAGCATTTAAGTGTTTACCATCCCTCTGTGCAAAAGCGAAAGGCAAAAAAAGAATAGGCCAACTAAGAACAAATAGAAATTTATAATTATAAATATATTTATATTTTATAAGCACAAAATTAATCTTATTTAATATCAACCATTAGATGGTAAATTAAATTGCTACACGTTGCATGTGTTTGCTTAATAGTAATTTTATTATTACATATTAATCTAATTGATTAAATAAAGCTATAATTACAAAAGTATTTGTAATTTATAAACACAAGATTAATCTTATTGCATATCAACCATTAGATGATAGAATAAAAAAGAATATACTAGAAAGGGCTTAAGAAAGTTTATAAATTATAAACATGTTTATAAATTATAAGTACAAGATTAATCTAAATGAATAACAACTGTTAAATGGTAGAATATTTTAGAATATCTAAGCATATTCTAGGTATATTCACCATCATAGTCCTCTACAAGTTTGCTTAAACCAACCAAAAACTAAAATATATTAGAAAGTTTAGGGAGTTTATAAATGCAAGATTAATATGAATGAATAACAACCGTTAGATGGTAAATATCCTAAAATATCCATGTATATTCTAGGTATATTCATTACCATTCACTCCCCTTTAAGGTTTGCTTAAGCAAACCAAAAATTGTATTCTATAAATTGATACTTATAAACTGATAAATTTTGTTTTAAATATAATAAATAGAATTATTTATTAATATTGAAAACTTTATCAACTAAGATAGGTAAAATTCTAATATATGTAACTTGAGAAATTTTTGTGTAGTATTGATATTTTAATTCACTTTAGATATATGTTATATTCTCATTTTAATTTTTTAACATTTTTAATATATTATTTATGATTTAACTTAGTGTCCATTTATAAAATTATTAATTAAATTCTAAAACTTGAATCTATATATTATATGCATGAAATCATCATTTGGTTATGTTGCATAATTTTATTAATAAATATAAAATTATTAATTTTTTAAGTATGGCTTAATTTAGAATAAGTATAATAATTGGATATCCACATTTCTATATTTTATGTCCATATTCTATACACTCATATTGGTGGAGTTGAGGGGCAATTTTAATTGTCCCTAAGCATTATTTGGATTTATGCTTTTAGTGTAGATATAGCTTTTAAATCATCTAAATCTCATTTTTCTTATAGATTTTCATTTTTCTCTATTTTACTTTTTTTATTTTTGTTCATCTTTATAGCAAAGCAATAGCCTCCCCTTTCTTTGACGCTAGAGCAACAATTTTTAATGTAATATGGTTTCAATTGAATAATCAAACTCAATTAAAGGTGGCATTTATGGTGTATAGTATAGCTCCTCTTGCTCTTGCTACCAATCTTTGCATCCAGCCAATGTTTTTCCATGGGAACCTTAAGGATAGAACAATTTTCCATGGGAATCCTAAGGATATAGAGGTTTTAAAATTATAATAGAGATATTGAGGTTTAGAACCCAATTTTAAAAAAACTCTTTAGTGATGCTTCCAAACTGAGTTGAAATTGGGACTAGGGGTTAGTGGCTTGTGAAACACAAATCCCTAAGCCCCTAAAGTGGAGCAAAAAGGGTTTCATATGGTAGTGGTTAAAGTAGAAGTTAAACAAGCATAACATATTTAGACTAAAAGCTCCAACTTGGAAAGTTGAGAGTGGGAATAGAATTCTGAATAAAGTGCTTGAGGAATGAGTATGAAAAAATCAATAAATGAATCTTTAAAAAGAGACACAAGAATAACTAATATTTGGCAAGTGTCATAACACATGGAAGTATCAAGAATAAGTCCAAAAAAGAGTCTGAGAAAGAGTTTGATATGGAGTCCGATATGGACTTGAGATGGACCTAAGATAGAGCTTAATATAGACCTAAGATGGACCCGAGATAGAGTTTGATATGGATCCAAGATGGTGAGATAAAGTCTAAGATGGAGTCTGAGATAGACCCAAAATGGAGTCTAAAATGGACATGAGATAGAGTCTAAGATAGATCTAAGAGAGAGATCGAGACCGAGATGGAGACCAAAACTAAGATTAAGACTAAGACCGAGACTAAAACCAAGACCTAGACCCAGACTAAGACCGAGACCAAGTCCGAGTCTGAGTCTAAGTCCAAGTCCGAGTCTAAGTTCGAGTCCAAGTTTGAGTCCAAGTCTAAGTCTGAGGATGAAAGACCAAAGCAATCATCTCCCAAACTCTGGGTGGTTTAATGAGCTCCAAAAGTATAATTGGGGGGGGGAGGAGGAGGATTTTAGTGAAGCCAATTTGGCCAGGAAAGGCTAATGTGACTAAAGAAGGTTATATTCATATAGTAGGTGATGATATAACCATTAAGGAGTCCAAGGCTAGAGTGAATATGGATGGATAAATGGGGTAACTTGGTAAAGTGTTCAAGAGTTAGCGTTAGCTCCCTCGAAAGATCGAATGGTCAATGCTCCCAATCCAAGTGTGGGTGGCACTACATACTTGGATACCTGGCATAGCTCATCAAAACCTCACTTTAGCCACATGGCTAGGGTACCCAAAAACAAAAGGTGAGGAGAGTACCCACAAGGCTTCTATAAGGTTATGGTGTTTTGAAAGTTGTTCCAAAACTATGGAAAGGAAAAGGAGCAATTCTCTTATATAGTGACTAAGGATATAATCACAACACAAGTCATTACACAAGAAGATTGCTCCTTTTCCTTTCTATAGTCTAGGATTTTGGGATAACATTTCAAAACACTATAGCTCTATATGAGCCTCATGGGTATTCTCCCCACTTTCTGCCTTTGGGTGCCCTAGCCATATGGCTAGAGCGAGATTCTAATGAGCCATGCTAAATAATGCTACCCACATTTGGATTGGGAGCATTGACCATTCAATCTCATGAGGGAGTTAGGGCCAACTTTTGAACACTTCACCAAAATACTTGTTTATTTATGTTCACTTTAGCTTTGGACTCCTCAATGGATATACCATCACCCAACACATAGGTATAACCTTCCTTGATCATACTAACCTTTCCTAGCCAAATTGGCTTCACTAGAATCCTCCTTCTATTATACTTTTAGAGCTCACCAAACACCCTAGGGTCTAGGAAACAATTGCTTTGGGCTTTCACCCTCGGACTTAGACTTGGATTCATATTTGGTCTCGGACTTGGTCTCAAACTTGGTCTTGAACTCTGTCTTGGTCTCAGTCTCGGTCTCCATCCCTGTCTTGGTCTCCATCTCAGTCTTGGTCTCGACCTTAAACTCCATCTTAGGTTGATCTCAAACTCAACCTCAAATTCCATCTCGGGTCCATCTTGGACTCCATCTCAGACTTCATCTCAGGTCCATCTCGAACTCCATTTTGGGTCCATCTCAGACTCCATCTTAGGTCCATCTCGGACTCTATCTTAAGTCCATTTCGGACTCCATCTCAAGTCCATCTCAAACTCCATCTCGGGTCCATCTCAAACTCCATCTCGGGTCCATCTCAAACTCCATCTTAGGTCCATCTTGGACTCCATCTCGAGCTCCATCTTGGGTCTATATCGGGTCCATCTCGGGTCTATATTGGACTCCATATCAGACTTTATCTTGGACTCCATCTCGGACTCTTTTTTAGACTTATTCTTGACACTTTCATATGTCATGACACTTGTTTGTGTCTTTTTTTAAAGTCTCATTCATTGATTGCTTCATGCTCATCCCTCAAACACTTCATTCGGAGTTTCACTCCCACTCTCAACATTCTAAGTTAGAGCCTTTGGTCCAAACATGTTATGTTTATTAGACTTCCACTTCAACCACTACCATGAAGCACCCTTTCTACTCCACTTTGGGGCTTAGGGATTTATGTTTCACAAATACCTTCCAACAATTGTATTGTCTTCATCGAGGGCCATTTGAGTCAATAATGCAATTTGGTATTTTTTTCTAGAGCCCCTTACTTCATGTATATATAAATATGTCATAGCAGAACAAGTGGGGAATGTTATGGCCAACACTTTGTTAAGATCTTATGGGACTTGTGCATGCACTTTCTTTTGCCACCCTTGACAATGCTCTTCACCTAACACAACATTATAAAACATTACCTCTTGCATTTCTCACTACACGTTCTTCAACTCCACTTCATGTAGGAGATAGTCTTATTCCAATAGAAGTTGATGCTACTACTGCTCAAGTTCAAGGATAAGTGTGAGGATATAATCATGGCTGTGATATCTATTGTTGGGTGTGTGATGAGGTTGATCACACGTATCAATGTTATTAACGTTTTCCAAATTAGTGTCCTCTATTTTTTGGTGGACACTTTGGTGTCAACAATGTCTTATTAGTGCTGCTGCAATAGAATGTCTAGACATTAAGATGTTTCTGGGAAACAAAGAGTCACACAAGTAGTGAAGGATTCTTGTGTGAATAAGTCAATGACCCTTCTTTTAGGAGTATCATCAAGTGGTTCATTTGGCACCAGTTCATTTAAGGTTTATTTTCTAAGTTTGTTTTTATAATAACAAGGCTTCTATTATTCTCTTTGTGTTTGTTGATATAGGTTTATGTATATCTTCTATTGCTCGGCCTGTTGCCACACATTGGTGTAGCAGAGCTAGCTTTCATTCTTTATAACAATGGCTATACACACGCATGTACATAGGATGAGGCAGACATAGTGATGCATGTGGGCAATCTCGAGCTTAAACTTTACTCATTACAAATGGTGTTAAATTAAGCTTCTGACCTCATCTTTCATATGAATTGGTTATGGTGCAATCATGCTAAATGTGACTTTGAGACTTTTCCCATTTATCTCATATTTCCTTATATTTCTTTCATTCCTCTCACTTATATTTCTTTTTATCACTTTGCTTCTACATCTATTTCTATCACTTTTATTTCTCTATTATTTCATTCTCTATTTCTATTTTGTTCCTCTATTCCCTTTTTAGATTCTTTTAATAGTCTTCGTGTTGCAACAGTTGACCGGCTTATGGAGTATGTCG